GGACTTGCCTACAGTCACTCAGAAAGTGAGAGAGGCAGACCTGCTAACCCCAAGCCAACTTCCTTTTCCCTGCTGCTGCTCAGAAAGAGAAGCCAGGGGCCAAAGACCTAGAAACCACATTCCCTGCGGAATCGAGATGCCAGGCTCTACTCCTGTTCCCACCCAGGGCTTTGAACAAGACCTTGCTGAGGCCTGGAGAACTCTCATGCTTCCTCTAAAGCCCAGACTAAAGATACCTCCTCTAGAAAGCTCACCCTGACCAGTGATAGCTGTCCTGCCAGATGGCCAAGCTGTGTTCTGCCAGGACAGGCGTGTTGGCATGCCTCAGACCAGCTATCAGGGCCTGGGGCCTCTTTGGGGCTTTGATCTGACCCCCACCCTGGTTTGCAGACTTGTTATTTCCCCATGCTGGGCTTCAAGGTTCTAAGGCCAGAGACAGGGTCCTAGTCAAGTTTGAGGCCTCAGATCCAAAACCATGACCCAGCCCAGTGCTTTTGTGTGTGGAATGAAGGAATCCTGACCATGCTGGGCTGAGACTTGCCAGGACAAGGGCCCCAGGAGTAGGGACGGGGCCCTGGGGCCTTGCCATCCTGCCCTGGCCTATCCTTCCCCCTTGCTAGGAGCAAGTTCCTGTTGCAAGCTGTACCCTGTCCCAGACACCTGGCATTTACCAAAAGGGCAGAGACAGTGAGAAGGGCCTCCCCTGTGCCATCCACTCACGAAGGAGCTGGAAAAGCCAGCAGGAAGGAGAGGAGTCATATTTCAAAGGGCTCTGAAGAAGTCAGAATGACGGCTATACTTACCACGTCAAACCGCCCAAGGAGTGATAGCCAGACTAGACAATATAAGAAATGGCTGCAGAGCAGCAAGAAAACAGCAACCCTATCCCAAAAATGAACATGAGAGGTGAATAGACAATTAAATAAAACAATTGGGCCAGGTGTTCGAGACCAGCCTGGGCATCATGGTGAGAATCTGTCTCTTCAAAAAATTTTTAAATTAGCTGGGCAACATAGTGTTTGCCTGTAGTCCTAGTTACTCAGGAGACTGAGGTGGGAGTATCACTTGAGCTGAAGTTCAAGGCTGCAGTGAGCAAATCATACCACAGCACTCCAGATTGGGTGACAGAGTGAAATTCTGTCTCAAAAAAAAAAAGAAAGAAAAAGAAAAGATGCTGAAAATCATTATACATCACTCTACTTTTGGTAGATGGACAAAAATTCAAAAGCTGGAAAAAGCCCAGCATTGATGGGGATGTGGGTGACAGCCCCATTGCTACAGGACATGTACTAGGGGAGTCTGGCAGCTCATTCATCGGGTGGGTGAGCAGGAAAATGTATGGCTGCACATCATAGGGTTCCATGCCAGTTGGAAGCAACAAGCCTAGATTTTATTTTGGTTGACTTATTGTTTGAGGGATAGGATCTCACTCTGTCACCCAGGCTGAGTGTGGTGGCGTAATCATACCTCACTGCGGCCTTCAACTCCTGGCCTAAGTGATTCTCCCACCTCAGCCTCTCAGGTAGTTGGGACTACAGGGGTACACCACCATGCCCAGCTCAAGGCTAGATTTTATACAGTGTTGACTCAATGAGATCTATAACACAATGACATTTACCAAAGTAAAAAGAAGAATACATGTTTACAAAAGAGTAATGCCCACCTGAAGGAACCATACAAAGGCATTAAAGACAGTAAAATGGGGAAACAAGGGAAGGGTGTAGGGAAGGAAGGAAAGGCATAAACACAAAACAAGAAAGGCCAGTGATGCCAGTGAGCCTGCCATGGCCTGAATAAGACTAGCCACACCCCCTGGTCCACACTGAGGACCATATCTAAGGTTCATAGGGAGGGACAATCCCCAAGGCCCTCAGCACAGGATCAAGTGGAGCCAGGAGCTGCATCCTTGAGGGTCAGATCTGGGCCTGACCTCAGAGACTGCCCCTCCCCTCCCCAGCAGGGGAGGGTCTTGGCCAAAGTCAAGCAGCTGTACATGCAGGGTCTCACCCACCTTGGGCCCCTTTTATGCCGTGGAAGTGGGAGGATGGAACCTCAAACTAGAACAGTGATTCTGGCCTGAGCTGAGTACCAGGAGAAAATGAGAAACAAGCCCTCCCCTTACAAAAGTTCCTGCAGGATCAGGTGCAGTGGCTCATGCCTGTAATGCCAGCATTTTTGGGGGTGAAGGCAAGAGGATTGCTTGAGGCCAGGAGCTCAAGACCAGCCTGGCCAGCATATTGAGACCCCCAACTCTAAAAACATTTTTTTTTAATTAGTTGGATATGGTGGCTTACATCTGTAGTCTCAGTTATTCAGGAGGCTGAGGCAAGAGGATCATTTGAGCCCAGGAGATGGAGGCTGCAGTGAGCTATGATCATACCACAGCACTCCAGCCTGGGTGACAGAGTAAGACCCTGTCTCTACTTTTTTTTTAAAAGTTCCTGGAATTCAGATTTTTTTTTTTTAAAGGAGAGTCTTTATCTTTAGACACACATTTAGAAAAATATGTGAAATGACATGGTATTTGAGATTGTGCTTAAAAATAATCTAGGTGTGGAGGCAGGGGAGAGGGGGCAAGGAAGTGGATGAAACAAGCTTGGTCATAAAGTGATAGCTGCTGAGTATGGGAATGAATATGTGGAGTTCATTATACTTTATTTTCTATTTATGCATGTGTTTGAGAGTTTCTCTAATAAAAACTTCAACAAGAAAAACTTCCCAGTAAGAAACCCTCCCATATGAGGAGACTAGCTCCTGACCTAAGGGAACCCCATCCAGTCTGTCAGGGATGTACAGACACTGCCCTGCATCTTCTTAGGCTGCCTCCACTGGCCAGCAGCCACATTGTAGGACACAGGCCTGGGATCTTGACAAATGCTCAGCCTCGGACCTGGCCCTCATCACTGAGGCCAATGGTCAGTCACTGGAACCACATCTAAGTAGACCTGGTTCTGGTTCCAGCTCCACCTTGCGTGTGGCCTGAGGCTCCTCACCTGACCCACACCTGCCAGAATCTGAGAAAATGTCCAGTGAGTCCTGGGCCATTAGCAGTGAGAAAGTCCCCCTGCTCTTATGTGGCTGCTCCTCTCACTGCCTCTGCCTCGGGTCTGTATGATGAAGACTGGAATCACCAGGCAAGTTTGCAGATATTTGAGGCAATGCTTAGTGTGCACCAGAGAGAGCTGCCAGGACCAGGGAAGGAGCTGGCCACAGTCATATAGTCAGCTAGTGGCAGAACTGGATTCTTCACATGAGCAGGGCACTGTGCCAACTGCCACCCCAACCACCACCACGAGGCCTGCAGGCCAGTGGACAGCATGTTCAGAGTCTGAGACAATGTCCCTGAGACCCTTCCCTCCAGCCCCAACTCCCATTCCACAAGCCTCTGACTCAGGGGAGTACCAGGAAGCCTGCACAGGCTTGAGCCAGGGAGGTGGAGGCTGCAGCGAGCTGAGACTATGCAACTGTACTCCAGCCACTCCAGCCTGGACAACAGAGGATGCAAGCCAGGAAGGAGAGGGCTGGGGAAGGAGGCAGAAGCTTCTGTCCTGCCCTCCTGGAGCACAGAAGAATTCAGAAACATTGGTCTGGGAGAGTGTGCCCAGACTTAGGGACTCTACCAGGAGACTGCCGGGTGACTCCTAAGTCAGGAGTTTTAGCCTTGCCCAGCCTTTCCTAACAATAATAATAGTCCACATTTGTATATCTCCTACTGTGTACAAGACAGAGAGTGTTCTGCTTTAGGTATATTATATCATTTACTTCTCACAACAACCCTAAGAGGCCAATGCTATTATTGTCTTCATTTTACATATGGGGAAACTGAGGCACGGAGAGAGTAAGTAACTTTCCCAAAGTCAGTTTGCACACAGCAGAGCTAGGATTTGGTCCCAGCCAGCCTGGCTTGAGTTTGTGCTCTTACCCACCCCGATACACAGACAGCATGGCCTGGCTTTTCCTAAGCCAGTACTTCTGATTTCCCAGAGGAGTAATGGCTGGGATGGGAGCTTCACCCAGGGGTGGCAGTGCTGGCACCTGGGCAGCACTCCCACCTCGTCTCTTATTCAGGAAAGCAGAGTAGAAGGTAAGTGGGAATGACACTATCAGAAGGATAGGTTTTAACTCATTTCTTCTTCTCTTCCTCTTCTTCTTCGTCCTTCTTCTCCTTCTCCTTCTTCGTTGTTGAGACAGGGTTTCACTCCCATCACGCAGGCTGGAGTGCAATGCCATGATCTCAACTCACTGCAACCTCCAACTCCTGGACTCAAGTGATTCTCCTGCCTCAGCTTCTGAGTAGCTGGGACTACAGGTGTACATCACTGTACCTGGCTAATTTTTAATTTTTGTAGAGATGGGGTTTTTCCATGTTGCTCAGGCTGGTCTCAAACTCCTGGCCTCAAGCAATCCACCTGCCTCCCAAAGTGCTAGGATTACAGGCATGAGTCACCATGCCCAGCCTTCTTAATTTAAAATCACTCATAAAAAAAGTTAACCAAGATCTGGGCCAGGTGCAGTGGCTCAAAAATATGTATACAAAAAATAGCCGGGCATGGTGGCACACCTATGGTCCAGCTACTAGGGAGGCTGAGGCGGGAGGATTGCTTGAGCCAGGGAGGTGGAGGCTGCAGCGAGCTGAGACTGTGCCACTGTACTCCAGACACTCCAGCCTGGGCAACAGAGGGAGACCCTGTCTCAAAAAAAACCAAAACAACAACAACAAAAAAGAAAGTCAACCAAGATCAGCAACAAAGTAGTCATGAAATGCCCTCACAACCAGTCACAGCAAGGCCCTGGAGAATTTCCTTCCTCTACTGAATACAAGCAGCTGGGGTATCTCCTCTGAGCTGAAACATGCTGAAAGAAGAGTGGTTACAAGCAGAGGTCTCAGGGTGGGTGCTGCCACTTCCAAGCTGTAAAACCCTGGCCCACAGATTAGTTCACCTCTCTGGGCCTCAGTTTCCCCATCTGTAAAGTGGGGATGATAATAGCATCCCCTCGCAAAGTTGTTAGAAGGTTTTTGTTTTTCTTTTCTGCCTCAGGTTTATTTGTACAAATAGCACAGGAGGATCCCAGCCCTATGCAGACAGCAGCCCAGGGTGGGTCACACCAGTCCTGTCCTCACATTGGCAGACAGAGCTCTCTACTCTGAAGCCTTTGTAGAGGCATGGGGACCTCTGGGATCCTGGGCTGGAACTGAAGCTCGAGCTGCAGCCTGGGCCTTGGTTTGATCCTTGGCCTTGACCTTTGGCTGGCACAGCCTGAGCCCCTTGGCAATGCGGGCACGAGCACACTTCCCAGGCGTGGGTTGGACAATGCAGGCAAGTCAATCGAGCTTGTGGCTGACACCCTTTGGGATCCTGGCCTTAAGCTCCTTGGACTTTACAAGGGCCTTGATAGCCTCAGCATGTGCACCCATGGCCTTGGCACTGTTGGCCTGCATCTTCTTTACGCCCTTCCTGTTGTGCTTCTTGGCACATGCATGCTCCTCAGGAACTTGGGGTCCACCCCGTTAAGAGATGCATATCTTTGAGATTGGGGTTTCCTAAGGCCATTTCTGTGCCATTTTTGGGACTGGTTCTGTGTGGTGTGGCTCTTGGACTTTGACATGTCTGTATCTTAAGCCGTGGCTCCCGAAGCGCCAAGAACCAGAAGAGCCAGAAGGTTTAAATGAATCTTCTAGCTTCACTGCAAAGCATTCATCCTAGGGCCTGGCACATAGAAGGTGTAAAACATGGGCTATTAGCATTACTACTGCGATCAGGACCGCCCCAACCAAGTCATGAGCTCCTTGGGGAAGGAAATGCATCTTGTTTATCTTTGTCTATTTGAGTATTTTCCACGGGCTTGGCATACAGTAGGTGCTCCATGTCTTAGGTCAGGTTCCCCAGAAGCAGAGCCTGAGACAAAAATTCATAGCTAAATGATTTGGGAGTGCTTCCAGGGAAACTGGAGAGGGACTGGGGGAGCAAGACAAGAAAGGAAGAGGCCAAAAAGGGTGCAGATTCAGGCAAAGCTCTGCAGAGGATGGCTTCAGCCTGATCTCGAAGGGGAACTGGGAAGTCTAAGTTACACCTCAGGGTTGTCCTTGCCCCAGGCAGGGAGCTGGAAGCTTACTCTCCTGAACCCCCGTCATTGGCTAAGAGCCAACATGAAGGGGATAGACTTCCAGGCACTTCCCATTATGCTCCAGTAGTTGAGGGCAGTGCCAAGAGAGCATCCAGAAGGGAAGGCACCCAGGGGCCAGGAGGGTCTGTGAAAATGCTACCCCCCATAAATGTAATAAATGTCATCCCAGCGTCTGAAGGGTCACAGTTCCCCAGGGAGTCCAGGACAGTGGAGGCAGAGTGGGCACAGGGGACTGCCAGGCAGTGGGAGGAGCTCTGACTTACACATTGGTCAGAGCCAGGAGGGTCCTCTGAGGTCCAGCCTCCCTACCAGCTGACTAGGGCAGGCCTGGGACTGTCTGAGTTGGTCTTAAGGGCCCCTACTAGTTGCCTGGCATAGATGCTGAGTTCTTCGCATGATTTTCTCATTTAACCCTCACACCACCACTGGACAGATGACTATGAGGCAGAGGCATGGCATGGAGAGGCCTACCTGCAGCACCCCAAAGAGTTAAGGGCAAAGATGGTCGATGTCATTAAGAAATTTTAATAAAAATCAAAATGAGCTACCATTTCACACCCACTAGGGTGGTTATAATAAAAATCTTTAATGAAACCTAAGTGTTGGTGACAGTGTGGAGAAATGAGATCCCTCACACATTGCTAGTGGGAATGTAAAATGGTGCAGCTGCCGTGAAACAGTTTGGCAGTCCCAGCATAAACTGAACACGGAATCACCACAGGACACTGAAATTCTGCTGTTAGTACAGACTAAAAAAAAATTAAATACAGTTAGTTGGACAAAAACTTGCTGGCCAGGCGCCGTGGCTCCCACCCGTAATCCCAGCACTTTGGAAGGCCAAGGCAGGTGGATCATGAGATCAGGAGATCAAGACCAGCCTGACCAATACGGTGAAACCCCGTTTCTACTAAAAATCCAAACATTAGCTGGGCATGGTGGTGTGTGCCTATAATCCCAACTACTCAGGAGGCAGAGGCAGGAGAATCACTTGAACCCAGGAGGCAGAGGTTGAAGTGAGCCAAGATTGTGCCACTGCTCTCCAGCCTGGGTGACAGAGTGAGACTCTGTCTCAAAAAAAAAAAAAAAAAAAAAAAAAAAAAAAAAATTGCACAAGAATATTCACAGCAGCACTATTCACAGCCTCAAAGGTGGAACAACCCCAGTGTCCACCACTGATGAATGGATAAACATAATGTGTTATATTTATACAACAGAATAATATTCGGTCATAAAAAGAAGCAAAATACTGATACATGCTACGACATGGATGAACCTTGAAAACATTATGCTGAGAAAAGAAGCCAGAAGCAAAAGGCCATATAGTGTACAATCCCATTTATAGGAAATGTCCAGAATGGGCAGATTTATAGACAGAATGCAGATTGCTGGCTGCCAGGGGCTGGGAGGCAGGGACTGGGGAGTGACTGCTAATAGCACCACAGGGGAGTGGTGACAGTCAGGCAGCATTTTCTTTTCTTTTCCTTTTTTTTTTTTTTGAGACAGAGTCTCACTCTGTCACCCAGGCTGGAGTACAGTGACACAACCTCTGTTTATCACAGCCTCAACCTCCTGGACTCAAGCAATCCTCCCACCTCAGCCTCCCAAGTAGCCAACTACATGGGCGCTCTATCACAACCACTCATTTTATTTTTTGTAGATACAGGTCTCCCTATGTTGCCCAGGCTGGTTTTGAACTCCTGGGCTCAAGCAATCCACCCGCCTAAGCTTCCCAAAGTGTTGGGACTACAGGCGTGATCCACCATGCCCAGCCCACACAGCATTTTCAATGTACTAAATGCTGCTAAATTATACACTTTAAGGTCAGATGCAGGGCTCACACCTGTAATCCCAACACTGGGAGGCCAAGGTGGGTGGATTGCCTAAGCTCAGAAGTTTGAGACCAGCCTGGGCAACATGGTAAGACCCCACCTCTACTAAAAATACAAAAAATTAGCCGGACATGGTGGCACACATCTGTAATCCCAGCTGCTCGGGAGGCTGAGACAGGAGAGTCACTTGAACCCAGGAAGCAGAGGTTACAGTGAGCCAAGATTGCACCACTGCACCCCAGCCTGGGCAACAGAGTGAGACTGTCTTCAAAATAAATAAGATAAATAAAATGGCAACTTTAATGTGTACCTTACCAGAATTCTCTTAAGTTAAAAAGAAAAAAAACGTGAGTTTTGAATCTCCCTTCTAAGGGCCCAGGGGCTGCCAACACAGTCAGCTACAGTGTTTCCAGATGGACAGAACAAATCAAAAACATGTCTGCCAGACACTATGCCGATAGGAAGATGGGACGCAAGTTGTTTTTAAAATTTTTTGTGCCTTGGCCTGCTGGAGAAATAAAAGCTCTGACCTTGAGCTCATGCAGGCCTGAATGTAAATGCTGGTTCCACCACTGGCTGTGTGACCCTGGGCAAATCACTGAGTCTTTCTGGGCCTCAGTTTTCTCATCTGTAAAATGGAGATAAGAAGCAGCTCTTCACTAACTCATGAAAAAGTCCTAAGCATAGTGCAAGACACACAGTAAGGACCAGCAAGAGTTGGTTTCCTTCCTCCCTCTCTTTTCCCCACACATGCCCTTGACATTTATCCCAGCCAGATTTCACCTATGCAGACACACTCCCAGGAGGCTGTGCACAGGGCACCACTTGTCCAGGTTCCCTGATGGACCCTGCCTGCAGGATGTACACACATTCAAAGAGAGAACAAGTTAATCCACAGGAAGCCTAAGTGCAGAGGGGACTAAAGAATTTCTGGACTAATCCAGGAAATATTCTGGACTAATCCAGGAAATATTCAGGCTCTTTCCCTCCCATCACGCCACCAGGTCAGCAACCTCCTCCAACACTATGTCCCTTCACATGCACATGCTCTCCAAACTTCTAACCCAGCAATTCCCAAGAGCTGGTTTCTGACCTTGTTCTCCCCTGTCCACAGCTCAAAATGTCAGCATAAGAATGCTGATCTGCCTTTCTAGAGAAGAACTATTCTTTTTTTTTTAAATATTCGTTTTTTAGGGTACAATAGTAGAAAATAAATTTTTTACCTATCCTGTGTCCTTACTTGACAAAATAAGATGCCATCAACCTTTATGCCAGTTTTCAAAATGAATTTTTGAAATTTGATTGATAAATCCTTGTGCCCCCTAACCCCACTCTCCCTCTCCCAGCAGGAAGTGAATCCTACTTCACTTGATCAGTGAGCATGAGGAGGGCATGGGCCCTGGGTTCCATTCCTGCCAGGTCACTCCCTCCAGCCCTCCCTGTCATTCCCACAGTAGCAGACAGGCAATAGCACTCCCTCTTCCCAGCATCACTGATGCCAGGCTGGGTACACCACAGCCTCTGCATACCAACAGACTGGTCCCCACGACCTGGTGCCAGAGGAGGTGGGTAACATGGAGCCATCACACTCACCCAATCACCAGACCTCTGGGTCAACTTAAGAAGGGATGGTCTGTGTTCACAGAGCAATTTTCCTCTGAACCAAATGAAGCTTCATCAGACGGTATGGACCCCACTCTGCCTGGGCAAGTTATAGCCCAATCTCCCCACTGAGAGGGGCCTATGGGCATCACTGTGTCTTCTTGGCCTTCTCCAAGTCTCTCGGGTTTGACCAGACCATTCTAGGTATTGTCCTACCACACAGGGTAATGCTAAGGACATGGCCAAGGTCCCTAACACTACAGCCAGTAATATACAACATACCTCAAACTCTCCACTCAAAATCCTGTCTTGGGCTGGAAAGCAAAGTAAGTGGCAAAGACATCTCCCGCTCTGGGAGATACCAGGCTCAGTCCCACATGCAACCTGCAGCATGTGTTAGAAACCATCAGGAGATCACCAGGGGCTGACAAGGAAAAAGGCTGGGGAAGACAATGACAGGCAGGCAGCAAATACAGGCTAAGGGCTCACTATGGACCAGGCACACTGCTGGGGTCAAGAAAGCAAACATGAAGGAGACATGATGCCCTGCCCTGAAAGGGCTCACAGATGAGCAGGTAGGTGTGACCTGGGGGAGGAGAAGTCAGGACTAACACATATCAAGTCTGTTCATCTCCTGTAATCCCAGAGAAAAGAGCCCATACTCACAGAGCTGACCACCAAGCCAAAGAGTAGGGAAATTTCAGATTGAGATAAGCCCTAGAAGAAAACAGACAGAAAGAGAGATGAAGTAGAACCACGTGGGGGATTTAGAGAGGCTGGTCACGGAGGGCCTCTCTGAGGTGACATTGGAAATGAGGTGGAGGATGGAATGAGAAGGAAATATTCCAGGTAGAGAAGAGCAGGTGCAAAGGCCAGGAGGCAAGTTCAAGGAGGAGCAGGGACACTGATGTGGGTGAGATATGTGGCAAGCAACAGGAGAGGAGGGAGGCAGGGCAGGCAAGTCCTTGCAGGCCCTGGTGAGGAATCCAGGTTGAATAAGAGCTTTATCCCCATGTAGTAGGTGAGAAACTGAAGCTCAGAGAGGTTAAGTAACTTGCCCAGGGTCACACAGCTAGTGCATAGCCAAGCTGAGATTCTACCATACATTCTGGTAACAAAGTCCACCATATTTTCTTTCCTCTAGTCACTGAACAGGAACTGGCTGGCTATGACAAAATATGATAACTAGTAAGTGGTTAATGACAAGTGGTTTATGAGAGGAGCCTAGGGTGGGGGGCGCAGTTTGCCAGGGAAGTCTTCATTGGAGGAGCTAACTGGGTCCCTAAGGATGAGGAGGATTCTGACAGGTGGAAAAGTGGGGAGGAAGAGCACTCAAAGCAAGAATAACTTGAGCAAGGCCAGGGGTGTGGTACATGAGGCCTGGTGGGAGCTAAGAGGCAATGGAGTTGCTGAGAGTAGAACTGGCAGGAGACAAACGTGGAAGGCAGGATGGGCCAGGCCAGAAGGGACCCTGAATGCCTACCAAGGATGTCTCCATTGAATTTCTGGGCAATGAGGAGCCAAGGCAAGTTCTTCAACAGGCTGAACGGTAGTGTGCTTTAGAAAAATGACTGTGATGCAGGAGCCTGGAGAGGCTGGTGTGGGGGCAGGGGCAGCTAAAATAAATGGCCAGAGGCTGCAGAAAGAGGTGGAGCAGGACAGGGTCCCTCAAGCCCCAGAGGTAACCAAGACTGCCAGGTCCCCCCTGGACAGGAACTCATGTATCCTAATCACACACAACCTCAACGACCTGGCTGGGGGGTATTTGGGAACAAACTGAGCAGTAGATAAGAAAGCATTTTTGATTTGGTTGTTATTTCTTTGGCTGTTACTGTTTTTTTGAGATGGAGTTTCACTCTTGTCTCCCAGGCTGGAGTGCAATGGCACACTCTCGGCTCACTGCAACCTCCGCCTCCCAGGTTCAAGCAATTCTCTTGCCTCAGCCTCCTGAGTAGCTGAGACCACAGGTGTGTGCCACCATGCCTGGCTAGTTTTTGTATTTTTAGTAGAAACAGGTTTCCACCATGTTGGCCAGGCTGGTCTCAAACTCCTGACCTCAGGTGACCCACCAGCCTCGGCCTCCCAAAGTGCTGGGATTACAGGTGTGAGCTACCACACCCGACTAAGAAAGCATTTTTACAGACCCCAAGAATGCGGTGTCTGGCTGGGAGCAGTGGCACACGCCTATAATCCCAACATTTTGGGAGATCCAGGGAGGCGGACTACCTGAGGTCACAAGACCTGCCTTGACAACACGGTGAGCCCTCACCTCTATTAAAAATACAAAAAAATTAGCCAGGTATGGTGGCAGGAGCCTATAATCCCAGTTACTCAGGAGGCTGAGGGGAGGATAATCACTTAAACCTGGGAGGCAGAGGTTGCAGTGAGCCAAGATGGTGCCATTGCACTCCAGCCTGGGCAACAAATAAAGAATGCGGAGTCCCCAGTCCCCAGTCCCTACCCTGCTTCATCCTACCTCCCTCCCCAAAGTTTGACCTGGGTCCATGGCTGGAGTCCATTCCTAGCCCATAGCCCCAGGTCCTGCTGCAGTGACCCCTATCAACACAAGCCATTCTGTTCATGCTCCGGGACTCCAATGAAGGATAAGGGCAGAGTGCTGGCTTTACAGGAATTGGGTGACCCTCAGATATGCTTACACAGCCCTGATCTTAAAAGGGAACCTATTTTGACTCACTTCATCCCCACAAGGTAGGTACTATTATATTCCAAGGAGGGGAAACTGAGGCACAGGGGACTTGCCCAAGGGATGTGAACCCTGGGGCAGTCTGGTGCCAGGGTCTGTCATCTGTGCTCCACCTCAAGGTAGTCATTGCTCTCTCTAGACTCTGAGTGTCTCTACCTGCTCTCCTCTCTCCTCTTTGCTTCATGATGATCCTGCCATGTACTCCATTTCCTGCCAGGAGGGAGGGCTACATGTGAGAATTTGGCATCAGAGCCCCAGCTGCTCCCTCCTCAGGAACGACCTGCCTGCCTGCCACAGCAGGTGGTGAGGAGCTGACCCTGAGCTCAGACAGCCCCTGGAGGAGGCAAGCAGGCCTGTCTGAACCCTCCTCCCCCACATAACAGAAATAGCTGCCAGCCCTGATGGACAGGCCTACAGCAGACCGTGCCTGTCCCCCACTCCACAGGGAGCGCTCACCCCTTTCCTCTACTCCAGGGGGCCCAGGTGAGGCAGCACCTGCCCAGGATGTCATGGTGCCATGGTTGCACAGCTCCTGGACCAGGGCAGCTGAAAGCCTCTTTGCCCACTAGATGGTGCAATGTGCACAGAAATGTGGGTTGACTGCTTGGCCTCCCCTCCCACCTGCAGAGAAACTGGATTTCACAAGGCATTTTTCTCATTTTTATTCTTATTCCTCATTTTAACCCATAGCCAACCATTTGTATCTGTCCTTGCAAAACAAGTGCATTTATTTTTTAGTTTCACACTTAGTACATTACACATATACACATTATATGTATGTGTGTGTGTGTGTATTTTTTTTTTCTTATTTGTTTTCACTCAGCACTATATTCTTAAACCTCATCCATGTTGCACATTTAGTTCCTGGTGGGTACCTTCCGCATTTATTTACCCACTCTGAGGGTGAAAGGCACCCAAGTTCCCTCCAACACCCCAGTAACCCTGCCACGACTGTTATATTGACGGGAACCCTTACAGCTCTGCCCGAAAACCTAGCAAGTGGAATTGCCAGATTACAGGGAAGGCGGCGACCTCATTTGGCACAGTACTGACAGCCATCCAGCTCTCAATCCACCGAGTTATTGGAGGGTTCCTGGGGAAAAGCCCTGGCCTCCTAGTACTCAGCCTAGCACCCCTTCCTGTGAGGAGGGGCCCCAATCCTTTCTGCTTGGGCCCAGGGGAGATGGAGAGCCAGTGGCCTCTGTCAAGAGCATTTTGCAAAGGCAAGACTTTAAGGTTCTACATCTACCCTGAGCCTGCTCTCCCCACTTTTTTTTTTTTTTTTTAAGTAAAGGGCAATGCTGGTTTGTTAAATCCCCCACATCCCTCTCTTCAGGAATCTTTCTGACCACAAAGCCCATTCTTTTTTTCCCTTCCCCTCCCACAGAACTATCCCAGTTTCCTGGATTTTCCCATTTCTCTTCCTCAGCCCATCCCTTCCATATGAACACTCTACACTTACTAGCTATGTATCTGTGAGCAAGTTGCTTGGACTCTCCCTCTGTCTATAATATGGAAATAAGTAATATCATTACTAATAATAGGCACACAGGCATAATCCCTCCCTGGCCTCCATACAGCCATCTCTCTAACTCAGTGCTGCCCTGCTTCCCACATATATTTAAGTAGCTCAAGATCCTCCTCCCCCAGGAAGTCATCCCTGATTGGACCAGATACAGTCCCAACGCCCTTAATCCAACTGTCACCTAGTAAGAGCTCAAGTGGTTATTTTTGGCTGACATTTAAAATAACAATAATGGCTATAATGCACTGAGCACCTACTATGTGCCAAGAATTGTTTGGCCTACTACATATCCCCATAAGAGCCCTGGAAGGCAGACATTGTCATCACCACTTCTCAAATGAGGAAACTGAGACTCAGAGTAAGGTGACTTACCCAAAATCACTGGCAGGTAATTGTCAAGATCAGGACTAGAATACAGGCTTGTCTGATATAAAAGCTCTATCCCATAAAACCTCCTTCAGAATCCCTTCCTCTTGCCCTCATTCCCCCATACCCGTGTGTGCACTGCATTTTAAAATTATTTGTGGTTTTACATAGACAAATAATATAGGGATATATTCTCCTTATTAAGAGCTGTATCACCTTTGACCAGGAACCTTCTACCCTCCTCCTTCCCCAAAGGAACTTTCACTATTAGTACTGTCTTGGGTATTGTTCTAGTGTTTGTTTTGTTTTTTTTTTTTTGAGACAGGGTCTCTTACTCTGGGGCCCAGGCTGGAGTGCAGTGGTATAATATTGCAGCTCACTGTAGCCTCTACCTCCCAGGTTCAGGTGATCCTCATGCTCAGCCTCCCAAGTGGCTGGGACTATAGGTGCATGCCACCAGGCCCAGCTAATTTTTATATTTTTAGTAGAGACAGGGTTTCACCATGTTGGCCAGGCTGGTCTCGAACTCCTGGGCTCAAGTGATCTGCCTAACTTGGCCTCCCAAAGTGCTGGGATTATAGGTATGAGCCACCACACCTGGCCCCATAAATGCTTCTGTATCTGTAGGAAATAATATTGAGTATTTTTAGTTTACATAAATAACGTGTGTGGGGCTGGGCACAGTGGCTCACGCTTGTAATCCCTGCACTTTGGAAGAATGAGGTGGGTGAATCACTTGAGACCAGGAGTTCGAGACCAACCTGGCCAACATGGCAAAAACTCATCTCTATAAAAATACAAAAATTTTCTGGGCATGGTGGCACACGCTTGTGACCCCAGCTATGCAGGAGATTGAGACACCTTGAATCTGGGGTGTGGAGGCTGAAGTGAGCCAAGATCGCACCATTGCACTCCATCCTGGGTGACAGAGTGAGACCCTATCTTAAAACAAACCAAAAACAACAACAAAAAAAACAGAATACTTTATGTGTATATCACTCACTCTTCAATGTGCTTTTTCCCATTCAACAATATGTCTTGGAGAGCTCTATCTATCGATACCTACACCATCCTTTCTTGGAACAACTGTGTGCTATGCCATGGCACACATGGACTTTGCTTATTTACTCAGGCCCCTACTGATGGCTATTCAGATTGTTTCCAATTCTCACTATTAGAAACAGGCTGAAAGGAATATGTACAGACCACTCTGGGCACTGTGATGTGTGCTCTGTGCAGGGCATGTACAGTCATCTCTTCCCATCTGTCACATCATTATTAAACACCTCTCACGGGGGTTCTCAACTTGGGAGTCACTGGAGGTTTCAGGGGGACCTCAAATCCCTGAAGTTGTACCCAAAGTAACCCATGTATGCCTCTGCATACATGCACTATCTGGGGAGAGGGTCCACAACCCTTAGCAAGTTTCAGGGTTTTGAAGGGCCCATATTAACTTTCATACCTTTATGTTCTGGATAATACCATGTTATCTGCTCAAAAGGACAAGCTGGGCAACATAAAGCCCCTTCTCTCTCGTTCTGTCAACAAGGATTCCATCTAGTGCTGAAAGAGAGGACTTCTGGAGTCAGACCCGGGCCCAAATCCTGGCTCCATCTTTTACTGTGCAACTTTGGGCAATTAATTTTAACAACCAAGCCTCAGTTTCCACATTACAAACTGAGGTGAGTAAACCTGCTTCACAAAGTTGTTGTAAGGAGTGCATGAAATCCCTTGCGCCAAGCATCTAGCATGCACAGAAGGTACTGTTATGCGCCCGTGCCCTTGGTTTCCTTTAGTTCTGACCAAGAGCTTCAGGCAACTGGGACCTTCTCAAGGGCAGAGACAAAGGCTCACCCAGAGTCTGCAACCCCCTTGGGCTCTGAGCCTAAATCTGTCACGGACAAATTAGGAGTGATTACACTGAGAAAAGAGTCCTTGTCCAGGCTCTCTGGGTCACACCACAGCAGCGCCACTAGGAGGCTGCAGGATAGGCCCTGGGGCTGGAGAGACTCTGCAGGAGCAGTTCTGACTGAAATAGTGTGTGCGTCCAAGTGTACATGTGTTATGTGCTCATATATGTAAGTGTGTAAATGAGTATGCATGTCTGAGTGTGAGCCTGTGTCTGTGAGAATACATGTATTGGCATGTGAGTGTGTGTGTGTGTGTGTGTGTACATGTAGGTTGGGAGAAGCAGAAACCCAAGGGGAGACAGGGTTTCCAGAGAGGCAGCAGCAGCCCGGGCTCCTCCCCTTGCATGTCCAGGTCACTGTAACAAATATTCCATCACCTACTGTGTGTCAAGCTGCTCCTATCCTTGAACTCATAGGAAGACAAGACAGTGGGTTCAAGCAATATTTCCAGGTGCCAGCACTGTTCTAGGTACTGGAGATATAAAAAGACACATTCCTTACCCTCCACCAAAGTCACACATGACATATCTCCTAGAGTCAGTGTCACTTCAATGAGTACAGCCCTGTATGGGGCACCCAGGAAGAGCTATGTTCAAGACCAGAAACCATGGAGAAAAGCAGAGTTGACCCTGTCCTGGGCAGCAAACCCTTTGAGAGGGGCCACATCCTCTACCCTGCCCTGCAGACTCAAATACAAAATATCTCGTTTCTCCTCCTTCACTTGGCCACCAAGCCCTGCTGGTGGCAGATCTCCTCTGTCAGGGGAGATCATGGGTCCCAGCACCCTCAGTATACAGATAACCCCTTTTCCATCCTCACCTTCCCCCTGGCAGCTGGCCCCACCTTTCCCCTTCCAACCTTCCCCTCATTCCCAAAAAACAACCTCCCTCTCCCAACTAACATACAAGCTTGCCTCTCTGAGCACCCAGTCCCCCCAACAGGCTCAGGGAATGAGGTGCCCTTTCACTTGCTCAGGTTCTCCTCTTTTCTCCTCCATTGGGGTCTCCTTCCATCAGTCACCACTGCCCCTCAACCCTGACTTCCACCCATAAACAATCAACCATGGTGCAGAGGCACTGCAGTGGGGTTAGGCAGCCCAGCGCCACCATTTCCCAGGCCTAGGACCTTAGACAAGTTACCCCACCTCTCTGGGCTTTGGTTCTCATGCCTGTAGCACAGGGCAAAACCCAGTGATGCCGAAAGAACCTACCTCACGAAGCCACTAGGAAGGATAAGATTATACTGGGCACATAAAATGCTGAGGACTGGGCTAGGGAGTGTTTAGTGAATGTGATCACTGCTGCTGTAAGCCCTTGACAGCACCCATGGTATCTGAAGAGCAGATGATCTAGCAGATGGTCAGAAATACAGTCCAGGGGTGGCATCAAATAGTTGTTCACTTTCCCCATCAAATCACCCTACAGTCCATGTCAGATAAGCCCCAGACTTGGTCCCCCACAGGGGTCTCCATCCAGAGCCTAGGCTCTCCATCTCCTGGTCCCAATTCCCCGGGTCTGGGCATCACCGGACAGCCTTCAGGGTAACATGCAGACCATACTAGTGGGTCTTCTCTTGCTGATAATATTAATCTCTTAGTAACTTACTATGCCAACATCTTCTTACCAAAGACCCCCTCAAAACAAGGGGAGGATCACCCATTTACAGGAAGAGTTGCTCAGGTGTCTCCCATCCTAAAATCCTTGTCAGCCTCCAGCTACAGCCCATCTCTCTCTTTCCCTTTCCCCTCTCACCCCACCACAGGCTGCCTGACACCACTGCTCCACCAGTGACCACCTGTGGCCACTCCACTCGTCCCTCCACAGGCCTCACTTCATGTGTTGAGGTTGACCACTTCCTCTTGGAACATCTTCTCCCTGGCTTCCAGGACTCCACCTCCCCGGTCCTCCTCCCATCTCGACTGTCTTCTAGACCTTCCACCCAGCTTCCTCCTGCCCACCTGCCTCTTCAACACTAGCTTTCCCAGTACTCCAGCCTGCCTTACTGCGCCTCTCTCCCTGGCCTCTCCTTGGGTGACCTCATGATTTGAAGCACGGTATTTCTAAAGCCTCTCAAGTCTCTCTCCCTTTGTTCTCACTCCAGACCTTATGTTTGGTGTATTCCACTGTCAACAAAACACATGCAACTAAACAAGCAGAAAAGAACTCCCTCCCTTCTCCTCTCTCCCCTCCCAAGATCCTAAACTCCATAAAGAGCCCCATCCACCCCACCAAGCCAGAGCCCTAGAAAGTACCCTCGCCTCCTTCCACCTCCAAACTTTCACCAGATCCTGCCTATTCCATCTCAGGGGAAGTTTAACAATTGAATAGCCCAGTAGCTTTAAGACTCCAGGTGCAGGGAGGCATGGATGCACTTTATTTCTTGGACATGGCTTAGAGGAGGGACAGCTCCTGAGCACAAGAGCAAGGTAAGGAGCAGCACAGGCCAGCAGGAGAGAAATCTCTGTGGCCCACATCACAGGCAGTCTCACCAGACCCCCAGCTGTGCATGGTATCTCCCCTCCCTACCTCAACCCAGGCCTCCACCAATCAGCAGCTGAGCTGGCCCAGCTCTTCTCTACAGGGACAGCCTACAGCTTGCCCTGTGCTCACCCCAGACCTCCCCTACCAACTCCATTCTCCTTCACTATGAAGTTCCTCTGAACACAAAGCCCACCTCTCAATAACCTATCCCAAGATAATTTTGTTGTGCTAACTTGAATTTCTGAACTCCCTGACCTATTTCCCAGCATGGCCCTTTCTCCATGCCAAGCTACCTCAATCTACTAAATAGCTCTTTTCCCTCAAATCTTTCTTAACTCTTAGCCTCCATCCCTGCCTTGCCCTACTATAGTATCATCTTCTTTTTTTCTTTCTTTTTTCCAGATAAAGTTCTGCTCTGTCATCCAGACTGGAGTGCAGTGGTGCAACACTGGCTCACTGCAACCTCGACCTGCCGAGTTCAGGTGATTCTCCTGCCTCAGCCTCCCAAATAGCTGGGATTTCAGGCACATGCCACAACACCTAGCTAATTTTTGTATCTTTAGTAGAGACAGCATTTCGCTGTGTTGACCAGACTGGTCTCAAACTCCCAACCTCAGATGATCACCCTGGCTTGGCCTCCCAAAGTGCTGGGATTACAGGTGTGAGCCACCATGCCCGGCCATCTCTGGAACTTAATGAATTCCCTGCACAGCAGCTGGGTGATCATATCAATGTCCATCTGGGATGGGGAGCCACTGGCCAGTTAAAGTAGGGCAGTGACAGGGTTAAAGTCCCAGCACCTAGTGCAACCCATGTAGCCTTTCGTGGCCCAGGCCGTCAGCCACCTGAGCCCCGCCGCAACCCTCTAGGGTCCTAAACAGCGGGCACATCCCACCTGGCATCACACTTCTGGTTTTGGCTGGGATGAAAGGGTGTTCCCACTTGAGCCTCTGGGTATCTCCTCAGGAAGCCTTTCTGACTCTCTGGGTCAGTGCTGCCACAGCACATGGGCTCCTGTCATCTGTTGCAGGAGGCAGAAACTGCTCATAGGTCTGTCTGCCTTCTAAGAGCTTCTCCAGAGCAGGTTCCATACTTTGCCCATCTGGGTACACCCAGTAAATGTTTGCATCAGTCAGGGTCCAAGCAGGCAATGGGGCCACTTGAATTGGGATAATTTGAGGAGAGCTTAACAAAGGGACTGTTTACAAAGGTGTGGACCAGTACATTGGGTGCTGCAGTGCCCTGAAGCATAGGCCCCAAGAGTATGGAGCACTGCCTGAGGGGGCTGTGACATGCGACTGAGGAGTGTGGTCAGCCCTGCAGGAGGACAGATTTGAGAATGGGAGCCTGGTGATGCAGTCCATACAGGTCAGCCTCCTGGGGCACAGGGCAGGGTGGAAAAAGTTAAGAGGGACCCCAAGGAACAGACTAACATGTCCAACCTGGGGCTCAATCAATGTCAATTGAACAGAACTTCACCGATGAGATGTCTGAGCAGGGTTCCAAGGGAAGACCAACCACCTCTCCAGGGAAAAAAGGACATTTCAGGCCAAAGATGTGTCAAGGCTCACCTGTGGGGTCAGCATGGCTTATGCCAGTGTAAAGGCAGCAACAGTACTGACAGGGTTGGAGAAGCAATGAGCAAAGTCGAGGTCTCCAAGTGGGACAAACCCCTGCCTCCAGGTTGACAGCACAGAGTGAGCAGACCTCCTCCGCCACAGCTGCAAGGGACTTCCTTGGCTTGGGTCTTCCAGATGAGGAACTGGGTTTGGAGAGGAGTGGTAGCCCTTTCTGGGGATGGGGATGAACCCACACTCTTTCTTCATTTGATAACCACAGCAACATTAGGAACCCACCTGGAAATGGGTGCTAAGAGCTCCAGGGTGAGCCAAGACCCAGGAAGCCCCCAGTCAGCCAAGTGCAGAGAATGAAGACTGGCCCATTTCCTTGGCCAGAGTAGATGACCAAGCTATGGAGTGACAGGAAACAGTGGTGTTAAACAAGGCCAGGAGCCAACCTCCAGCAGGAAGCACTGCCCTTAGCTTGGGCAGGAAGGTGCTGACCTAAGGCAACTGGAAGCAACTACTATACTTGTAGTTGGACACCACAGTGGTCATCCAACGGATGCTTCCGGAAAACTATTTTAATAGCTGAGGGAGGGCACATTACCAAGAAATATTTCCACCACAGGTCAGTGCAGCAGAAAGAGCAGAAGCGATGAGGTTAGGTAGCCCTGACTTCAAATCTCAGCCTGCCACTTGACCACAAGTCCCTTAACTCTTCTCAGCCTGGGTTTTCTCACTCATAAATCAGACATAATAATCACACAGCATCACTGTGAAGACTTGGAAGAGAATATGTGAAGTGTCCAGCACAAAACTGGCACAAGGCAAGCCCTCAATAAATTGGTTTCTCTTCTCTGCTCCTACTACCATGTGCTACAGACCCAAGCTGAAAGAGATGTGGCTTCTATACTTCCAAGAGCTGCCTCCAGTGGGCAGCTAGATTGTCACAAGAAGTTGGCAGCATGTGAAGACCAGGTCAGAGCCCTAGGGTGAAATGTGAAGTTCCAGAAGGAAAAGGAACCCCACTGCCACTACAGGAGGATGGAGAGAACTTCTCAAAAACCAAAAGTGAAGCCAGGCGTGGTGGCTCATGCCTATAATCCCAGTACTTTGGGAGGCCGAGGTGGGTGGATCACCTGAGGTCAGGAGTTCAAGACCAGTCCAACCAACATGGAAAAAAACCGTCTCTACTAAAAATACAAAAGTATCCGGGCATGGTGGCACATACCTGTAACCCCAGCTACTCGGGAGGCTGAGGCAGGAGAATCACTTGAACCTGGAAGGTAGAGATCGTGGTGAGCCAGGATTGCACCACTGCACTCCAACCTGGGCAATAAGAGCAAGACTCCATCTCAAAAAAAAAAAAAAAAACCACGTAAAGGGAAAAGTAGGACAAACCCAAAAGTGACTCCAAAGTTTTAAGATTTGTAAGGCAGGAAGGTTGCTAGTGCCACTAAGACAGTCCTGAGAGGTAAGGGCAGAAGCAGAAACCAAAACTCTGAGAAAAGTGACCTGACATGCAAGCCAGTGGCCGAGCCCGAGCTAAAGCTTTGGCCTCAGTCCCCAACCCAAAGCACTGTACATGCAATCATGTGGACCAGGTCTCCCCACCTCACTCTGTGAGCCAAATTGTCCCAATCCTCCAATGGCCTTCACTGCTGGCCTCAACCGTTCAGTTAGCTACAGCCTTTCCAAATTTTCCATCAACTGCTCCAGCTTTAGGGCCCAAATCATGGCAATGGGCAGATAAACAGTGATCAAGTGCGTACTTATGGATTGCAACGTGGCTTCATTCCTATAATTCTACACTATTTATGAACCATCGGCTCATGATGACTCCCAGATGCTCTCTGTCCTCCTTATACACAACAGGTCTCACCTGTAAGACTGTCAACACTTGGGGCCAAGGAGTTCTTTGCTGTGGGGGTGGTTCTGGACATTGTAGCATGGCCAGCAGCATCCTTGGCCTCTACCTACTAGATGCTGCCCCCAGTTGTGACAACCAACACTATCTCCAGACATTGCCAAATGTCCCCAGCTGAAAACCACTGCCTTATCTCTTGTACAGCTTTTTTTCCTCCTAAACTTGAAAAGTAAAAACACACTCCAGCTTAGTGGGGTTATAGATATCATAGGATGTCTTAAACTGGAGTCATTAACTGGAGTTTAATGGGGAAACAGGAAACACTGGGCATCTGGCTAGTGTGGGTGAAGCCCTTGGGATAAGGATCTATGTGGAAATATGCAACTCTGTCCACCACGGGTCCTTGTAGACGACAGTCCATAATGTCTTGATTTTTACCAACCCCTAAACTAGATGTCTACATGCAGACTCCTAAATTGAGAATATGAATTTTAACTTTTCAGCTCTCATATTTTTGCGCCTCTACTACTGGGCATCAGTGACAACTATGAACAAGACAGAGACTGCTCCTGAGCCCATAGGCTTGCCCAATTTCACAGTGCTGTAAGAAGTGCTATGCTGGGAGTGACAGAGCTCAGCCTGAGCCCCATAGAAGAACACTGGTCCAACTCCACCACTAACTTACAGTTGTCTATCTTTAAAAGAGCGACACCAGCCCTACCTACGACTCAGAGTTGTCGCCAAGGCCTGGAGTCACAGAAGTTCTAGGCTGGAAGAAACTTTCTAGGACTAAAAGGTGAAGGCACTCTGCAAAAGTGCTGCACAGAGGTAGACGTCTGCCAGTGGGGTTCGGAAATCATGTGGATCCCAGTGAGGAAGCACCTATTCAGAAGAAAGAAAAAGCAGTGAGATGGGCTCTGAAGCTCTCAGATCCAGTGAGGAATACAGGGGTCAGAGAGGTTTCAGACCACAGCTCACAAGCATCCTGCCTCCCTCCAACCCACGCGCACCACATACTTCAACCGCCTGATCCACATGCCTTGGGAAGTCCTGCTCCTCAGGGCAGCTGAGATTCTCCCAACTCCTCACAAGCAATGCTGCTTCCTGCCCCTACAGGCTGGACAGGTATAGCCCCATCCAAAAGTATTTTTCGGGCCGGGTGTGGTGGCTCACGCCTGTAATCCCAACACTTCAGGAGACCAAGGCAGGTGAATCACTTGAGGTCAGGAGTTTGAGACCAGCCTGGTCAACATGGTGAAACCCCATCTCTACTAATAATACAAAAATCAGCTGGGTGTGGCGGTGAGTACCTGTAGTTCTAGCTACTTGGGAGGCTGAGGCACAAGACCTGCTTGAATCTGGGAGGTGGAGGTTGCAATGACCTGAGATCATGCCACTGTACGCCAGCCTGGGTGACAGACAGAGTCTCTTTTAAAAAAAAAAACACCACTATTTTTCAGAAAGTTCATCAGGTTTTTAAACTCAGTGGTAAAAGAGAGTGCTCAGCGACACTGTCAGATGCAATGAAAAGAGGTGGACTGGGCATTAGAAAACTCTAGTTCTTGTCACAAATCTGTTACTCTCATATGCAAAATTTGGGTGGCTCCACAGCCCTCCATGTTGACATGGTCATCATGAATGGTCCAAACCACAATGGTGGGAATGTCAGCTTTGTTCTGAAATAAACTATTCTGAAGCCATAGGTGAGTTACCTCCAACAAAGCCTTGCCCTCAATTATTGAGACCCAGCCTGGAGAAACAAAATCCAGAGATAACCTTGAAAGCTCATTTCAGCAAGGATTTCATCCTTCTTTACCTGCAAACCTTTTACCAGAGCTGGCAGCAAACTGATGAGTTAATGCAGTTGGTTAACAGGATGTCAGTGAGACACATGGACAAATGAAAGCCCCACTTATTGACCCATGTGTGCTGCCTCTTTGCAGGTTATCAGCCATGGCCAGCCAGAAAGGGCACTGGGTTAGCCTGTGGGAATGGGGCAGCAGAGCCCACTCTCTGTCTGGGAAACCCACTGGAGGCCAGGCGTAACATCCCTTGAAAAGACCACACCCAAAGGTCTCTCTTTCTCTCCTCTTCCTATGCTAGGCAGCCCCCTGAGAACTGGTGCCAATCAAAAGGGAGCTCAGTGGGGAGGAGGGAGTGCAGCTTTGATCACACACTGGATCATCAGTCCAGACTGGCCAAGAGCTGTCTTTACTGAGCATGTAAACACTTGGCCTCAAATCAATTGCCAATTAAGGTTTTGTAATATCCAAAGGTATCACGATTATTCAAGAGCTCTTGTGAAATTCCCAAAAAAAGTTTAATTTTCATTTAAAAAAATGCCTGTGGTGTGTCTTATGAAACAGCCTGCCACAATATCAAGCAATGACAACAGATCATTACTGTTTCCAAATCTGGCTGGGAATCACCATCTTTATACTGAAAGTTGAAAAGCAAACTCATCACCACTTTCAGCTCAGGAAGCCCAAATAATTCAGAAAATTACTAATATTTCACAAAATAATTCAGGAAGAAGGTGTCCAAAATGCTGGGAAGAACTGAACTGTGATCTGTTACCATCCTCCAGGTGGGAAAGAACAAAACAAAAGTCCCATGATTTTAAGTCTGAATTACAAAATTACAAGAAAAGAAATGCAGCTACTGGTACAGATTCAAATTTCAGTTAAGGATTTTATTCCAGTATTATACAATTTTTGTCAAAAGCAACATTTCTCAGCCACTGAGAAAGAAAATTAAAGACCATGAGAAGAGGCCAAGAAAGGTAATGAGAGGAGCAAGGACACTGAGGCGGCTCTGCACAGGGAGGTTGGAGTGGAATGGCCTTGGGCTCCTGCCTGTATAGTAGGATCACCTCCAGGGAGACCCCAGTCCTGGCCCCCCTCCTCACTCTAAAACAGGAGGAAGCACACCTCCAGTGAATTCAGCCTCAGGGGCCACTGCCCTCATAAGTGCAAGGCTGGGCTTGAGAGTTTCAGGGGAGAAACTCAGTGGTAGGTGCTTTTTCCCAGCTGCAGCGGCTGGTACTTGGGAAGACTCTTAATTTCCCTGCTTTCTGTGCTAATTCCCAAAGACACACAGGAAGTGGACTGGACATCTCTGCCAGAGGTGACTAGCTTCAGGAGTGCTGATGGTGGCAAGACCTCTCTGCACACACTTTGGCCAGGTCCCCCTTCACCCCATCAGCAGCCAAGGACGCACATCCCTCAACATGGCTGGCCCTTAGGAGTCACACCCACTGGCCAGAGGTCCTGAGCACCAAACCCTCCAGCAGTAAGCTCCTAACTCCTTGAGAGGCTAGTTAGCAGCAGGGTTCCATCTGGAACCCAGGTCTCTGACTACAAGAGCTAATCTAGAGCTCTTTTCTCATTTCAGCAGTGGTCTAGCAGAGGGAGTCAGACCGTAAGTGGAGCTAGCCCCTTCAGCAAAGAAAGTGTGATAAAATCCATGAAACCAGAGAATAAGGCCCTTTGACCTGTTGGGGCAGATTCTTAAGGGCACACAAGGGGGAAAAAAAAACAAAAGCAAGTTTATACTCATAGGGAAACATAATCTGTGATTATAAATATTTCATGAGCACTGGCTGAGACTAGGGTTGAGAGGGTGGACAGCAAATTAGATCCCAGCTTGCAAAGTGATAGGGCAGCTGGAAAAGCAGCAAGGCCGAGGCTATTCTGGGCTGTGCTATGAGGGCCTGCGTCACAGGCCCTGGCCACTGGCTTTGTTGAAACCACAGCCTTCCAGCGGTCAGCACAGAACACCTTGGGAAGAGGGTTTAAGTCTATAAAGACCAGAGGAGGGGACCGCAAGGAAAGAGGAGTCATCTGAATGACTCTGATGAACCTCAACAGCAGGGAGGCGGGTGAGGGGTGGCAGCACCCTGCAAGCACATGAACGGAAGACACTTCCTGCTAACGGCAGAGGAAGAAGTGAGGCTGACCCCAGAAAATAAAGGACCTGAGAAGCTAGACGGCAGCTTGGGTAAAGCTGCGCCAGTGAGAGCAAAGGTCCAGCCCTTAAGCAAGTGGTGCCAGGCTGAGAACAATTCCACCTTCCCTTTGCTTCAGGCCAGGGTTCTCTTCCTCCCACAGCCTTTAGAAAGTAGCACAGAAATCAGGGACGTTAAGAACCTTCTGAGTACCAGCTGCTGCCGTTGGAGAGAAACACTTACCACTGGCAAAGCAGGCCCTGGTTTCAATGATTCCTCCTCCTTGGTCATATCCAACCGCTGCGGCAGAGCACGTCAGCCCTTCCAGAGGGCCAGATGGAGAGGATATTAGCTCCTAAAATACCTAGAGTACCTTGAATCAGGCTTAGTCAGAGGAGCCCTGGGGAGCAATGTGCTCCTCCAATGGAAGATGTAAAACTAAGAGCCTCTGCCTCATTGCAGTCAAGGCTCAGTGGGCAATGGGCTCCAAGGTATGCCCATAGAACTCAGGAAAATCAGAACATCAGCCTCTAGGATCACAGCTAGTAAGAATCAAGTCAAGATGAAGTGAACTTATCAAATACAAAAGGAAGACCCAATGATGTGGGAAGACCCTGGGTTGGAAGTCACAGGATCCAGCTCCGAGACCAGCTTTACCACTTAATAGTTGGAGAACCCTGAAAAATCACCTCTTACCTCTGAATTACCTCTGAAACTGAGCGTCTTCAGTGTTATTCCAATTTAAAAGATTATTTATATCCAGCTAATTACTTGACATCTCTTCGATGTCTCAAAGTCACCTCCATTCAGTTTGCCCACACCCGCTCTTCCCCAATCCTCCAGCCTAGCTCCAGGTTCAACACAACCAACTATCCAGGCATAGAAGCCAGAAACCTCAGAAAAACCATCCCTGGCCTTTCCCCATTAGTATTCCCCATTACTAACCCACCTCCATTAGTATTCCCCAAGTTAACTCCACCTCCTAAAGATACCCACTGCCCTCCACCACAACCTGGTCCATATTATCACCTCGCACAGTCTATTGCAAAGCACACTCTTCCATTCCGACCTCCCCAAGATCTCTCTCCAGAGCAAATCTAACCATGCCTTATCCCACCTGCTAAATTACTCTCCAACAGCATCCCAATGACCTCAGTAAAAGGAAAATCTCCTGAGGACTCATGAGGCCCCACTCCTCTTTTGGCTTCAACCCCCACCATGTTCCCTCTTGCTCTCCCTGTTCCAGCCACACTAGCTTTTTCTAGACCTGGCATTTATCCCATTCCCTCCTGTCACAGGGTTTGTGTACATGCCCTTCCCTCTACCAGCAACATTTCCTCCTCTTCTCTGACCTAACTAATGCCTATTCATTTACTTCACTATGATATAAAGTGCGGTAAAGTATACAGCTCAGTAATTGTTTGCGGATGTCTATCCTCATGGAACTCGCACACAGATCTAGATTTAGGACATTCGTAAGACCCAGAAGTTTCCCTCTTTCCCCTTTCCAGCCTACACCTTCCCTACCCCCCAGGTAATCACTGTTGACTTCTATCACTGTACCTATTCAGACTGCAGCTGATGCAATCCTTCCTCAGGGAAGCTGCCTCCGATCCCACTGAAACTCTAGCTCCTTTATCACAGACCCTTGCTACACTTGGGACTTTGCACTTGTTTGAGGAATTACTAATTCACGTTGGTTTCCCCTGAGACTAAATAAACTCCAGGAAAGCAGGGACCACACCTGCTTTTACTCTTTCACTTACCTTTGTTTTCTCAGTGCTAACCCACGCAGAGTCGTGACAATAGTAAATAGCTACTTCCTATTCCTCGAACCTGCAACCTCATGATCCGCTCACCTCGCTACTTCCTATTCCTAAAAGTACCTACTGTTTGGTTGTTTTGTTTGTTATTTAAGAGACAGGTCTTGCCATGTTGCTCAGGCTGGACTCAACTCTTGGGCTCCTCCTACCTCAGCCTCCTGAGTAGTTACGACTACAGGCCTGGGCCACCATCCCTAGCCTGAGTGCTTATTACTGCCAGGTATTGCTCTAAGCGCTTACAAACCCATTTAATCTTCACATCAATTCTATCAAGTAGGTACCATTGCTATATCCCCCTTTTACAGATAAGGAAACTGAGCCGAAGAAAAGTAGAAACATTTGCCCAGTCATTAAGTGGTAGAATCAGAATTCAAACCCATACAGTCTGGCCTATGTTCCTAATTATTATCCTACTCTGACTCTCAGAAGCCATTGAGATTAGTTAATCATTTAATGAGTTAACTACCTAAGGTATTCTAAATGAATTTAAAAAAATTTATAAATAAGTTGATGAGATTCCAGCAAAGGAACTAAGAGAGCCTGTAAATCTTTGCAAGCAAACCAACAGATGAATGGAAGATAACTGTCACTGAATCACCTGCACAGACCCAAGATTATGTCATCTGCAAAATGTAAGGACGTGTCAATTTCTTCAGCAGTCCAGGAAGGATGCTCTGCTACTGGGCACAGTGGAGTATTCTGGCAGATGATCAGAATAAAGAAAGGATTAGTGTCTGGGCTTTACTGTGGCCTGAAGGAAATGTTCACTAGATTAAATCAGCTTCTTTGCTCTTATTCCATGCTAACTCAGTAATCTTTATAACCATTTAAAGTCTCAAGCCCACTAATTCAGGAAGAGGAGATTTTGGATGAGAAAAATAAAAACAAGCATCTTTTGGTTAGAAAGTGGCAGACTCCACGGTACATTTATAAATTGGTACATGGTGTGTACCTTGGTTTTCCAAGGCATGTCAGTTCTGGATGAACTCATAGGGTTTAAATCGGAAAAGCAAGGGCTTAGACCCTGGCACCACGGCTGCTCCGTGTAAAGAATGCCGCCCTGTGTGGCCAGACTTGGGTAAGCCACCTTGGAACGGCTCCAGTGTCATTTACTTTCCCACTTATCCCAGAAAGCTCTGGAAGAACACATAAATTAATATATTTATTCTCTCACAGGACACTGTTACCCAGTGTGAAGGGAGCAGCCATGTGGTTCCCAAGCTCCCTTAGCAAAAGTGTAGTTCTTGGAACTGCACCATTCACAAACCCTCCTGCAACCAGAGGCCTGGGCTCAACTCACACGAAGTTCTGGGCAATGGCCAGCACCTTGGAATATTCGCCTTCCCGCTTGCGCAGGCTGGTGGGGATAGGTGTTTTAATTCGGGTCCCCACAGGGTTCCCGTTGTCCTCAATGAGTACCACATTGTTGGAGTCAAACCTGGGGGTCATTCGGGGGCCAGGCATGCGATGCCCCACAATGAGCGCCTTTTTCTTTTGTCCCCTGATGGCCAGGAGTATCTGGTCGCCGACCTTGCCCACCCCATTCTTGTTATAGACGTGGATGCAGCGAGGAGCCCGATGGTATGGGCTGTTCCCCAGGGCACTGTTGTCCACCACTCGTACCCGCGTCATCTTCTGAATCGCACTCAGGCTCCCAGTGGTGCTGGTGGGAGAAAAAAAGTCTGCAGTCTGTATCTCTCCTGGTCAGGGTGCACAAGCCTCTGAGGTCAAGGCTAGGGAGAAAGTACATGTCAGCAACACACACAGAGCAGAGTGCTGTCCAGAAGCAGCAACAGAAAGTCAGGACTTTGTGAAGCCTTATCTGTACCCACACAGTTTCCTCACAATTGAGAGCTTCTGCTGTTGTGCCAAGATCTCAATTTGGATGGGTTTTAAAGAGAACCCTATTTTTCTGTGACAATGAACTTCATAGCAGCCATAACTTAAAGCCTTTGATTTCCAAAGGGACTCTGGGGACTTAAAGGAATCCCTAAGGGGCTATGCCTCACCCACTGCCTATCCTGAAAAACCTGCTTCCCCAGAATACACTCATTCCCTAATTTTCTTATTTACATGTTGCTGAGAACTAGAAGATATGGGTAAGTTTGCTAAGGGAATTCCTTGACACAACACAGCAGAAACTGGAAATGTGTCAAGGTAACAATCTTTTAATACATTTTTTCTCACTAGAAAAAATAAATTTAGAGAGTACTTATTAATGGCAGACAAGGTATTAGTAAGCAAACTGATTACAGTGGGATTCCTATTTTCCTGAAGCTAGCACCTGATGCTGGTGTTTCCACAGGGTAATCCTAGGACCTCTTCTTGTTTTTTTTTTTTTTTGAGATGGAGTTTCTCTGTTGCTACCCAGACCGGAGTGCAGTGGCATGATCTCAGCTCGTCGCAACCTCCGCCTTCTGGGTTCAAGCAATTCTCCTGCCTCAGCCTCCTGAGTAGCTGGGACTACAGGCGTGCATCACCATGCCCAGCTAATTTTGGTATTTTTAGTAGAGATGGGGTTTCACCTTGTTGACCAGGAGGGTCTCGATCTCTTGACCTCGTGATCCACCCGCCTCGGCCTCCCAAAGTGCTGAGATTATAAGCGTGAGCCACCATGCCCGGCCATTTTTTTATGTCTACTCTGTGCAAGCTTACCCATTAGCATTGCTGCCAACTAGTAAATTTCATCTCTAGCCCCACCTCTCTTCTATATTCTAGTCCTATATATTTCTACTCTCCTCAGCTCCCTACAACATGCTCTACAGTTACTGCAAATTCAGTAGGTCCCAAACTGACCTCACTGCCTCCCCTTGCAAACCTCCTCCTGCTGCTACACTTCTTATCTAGATAATGGCTTCTCCAGCAGCACCAGAAACCCAAGGCATAATCTCTCTCCACCAACATCAGCTGGCCACCAAGTCCTGTTGATATCACCTCCTAAGCACCTATGTCCTTCCTCTCCAATCCCACCAACTTCCTTCATTTAGTAGCTCACTCTCCTATACCAAGACTGTGGCATTAGTGTCCTAGCTGGTTCCTAGTACTTTGCTGAAAAGAGCTCTCTTTAGAATATGAAAGTGATGCCACTCCTCTGCTCAGAATTGCTCAATGGTTCCCCACCGTCTACACAGTCAACAACCTTGTCCCAATTTACCTACCTTCTAAGGCCACATATCCTACCACTCTGTACAGGAGCAACCAGGAACTACTGGAGTTCCCCAAGCACACCCTGCCTCCCAATTCTCCCTGGAGGCCTAGACAGGATCTGCCCCTGACTCCCTTCCGAGAACACTGCCTCCACTCTTTCTCCTCCTCTTCCTCCACTAGCAGCTTGAATATGAGGCGTTCCTAAGCACTGTACGATCCTCTGTTATAATATTCTATCACATTTTCTTAGAGTTACTTATCATGTTGGATCCTGTGGCTGACACTAAGCACTCTTTCAGGACAGGAAGCAATTCTCACTCATCTCTGTATAGCCAACCTCAGGCTCAGTGCTCAGGAAACACCTGTGGGATGAGGAGTTGACCGGACCAAGAAGCATGTCTGCCAATGGGTGTGCATCCTGTGCTCTCCTGGTTTGGCATCAAAAGGAGGGAGGGTGTCACACTTCTATCATGCTCAAGTTCTTCGTAATAATAAGCATGTATTGTTTTTGTAATTTAAAAAATTCCATTTCTGGCAGGCGTGGTGGCTCACACCTGTAATCCCAGCACTTTGGGAGGCCAATGGGGGCAGATCACCTGAAGTCAGGAGTTCGAGACCAGCCTGACCCATATGGAGAAACCCCATCTCCACTAAAAATACAAAATTAGCTGGGCGTGGTGGCGCATGCCTGTAATCCCAGCTACTTGGAAGGCTGAGGCAGGAGAATCACTTGTACCCAGGAGGCAGAGGTAGTGATGAGCAGAGATTGCACCATCACACTCCACCCTGGGCAAAGAGAGCGAAACTTTTGTCTCAAAAAAAAAATTCCATTTTTAAAAGCGAGGATTTTAATGCTGTAGGGAAATGATAGGATTGAGAGATGTGAGATTCACTGTAAGAGTCTTGCAAGGACCAAAGAGTAAAAGCTTCCACCATATGCCATTCCCTGTCGTACTTCTAACACAGCAACATCACCTCCTTACCTATCCCCCCATCCTGTGACCTGACCAACCAGGCCAGCTCAGCCTGATCCCTTTAGCTTTCCCCAACCCCATGCTTGTCTCCCTGGGTTTCACTCCTGTTCTAGTCACCATAATACCCAGCCCTGATAGGAAGCTCACCAAAGACACAGTTTTAAGAACTTAATGGGAAGTTACCTGAAACAGCGATGGATCAGTGCTCTGCTTACAAAGGTGAAGGGGCCCCAGAGCCCAGTAAAGAAAGCCATGGGATCCCAAGATAAATCCTGCAGAGAAAACAGGAGGGGGAAAAATTGATTTCTAAGTCAGAGCCCTTAGAGCCAGTTTTCTTTGGGGACTTATGTGGGAGATGGCACTTCCAGCACAAGATCATTAGTCACAAAATATAAATCTTAGTGGTTAAAGGATACATAGATGATTAGACAGAACTCTAGTTCCAATTTTGCTGATTCATGTTCTGACTCTGGGGTTGGAGAGGTGGAATGGCCTACAACAGCTTCTGCTATTAAAAAAAAAAAGCACAGAGAATGCCTTCCTTATTATATCACTTCCACAGGCAGGAGGAAAACATGAACCCTCTGTTTTAAACCCAGCCAGGGACTTCTTCTCAAGTCCTCCACAGAGGAAAAACTGCACACTATTGCCCTTGTTGATACTCATGTGCCTTCTGAAACCAGCACTCTTTAACTCCCTACAAAAAAGTAAATTATCTAAGCAGCCACCCAAGTTGTCTGTCCAATTATATCATCTTTCCCCCAAATGTAAAGGCCAGAACACCTGTATAGCTCAAGGCCAGCAAAGCAGAGCCAAAGGCTGCTCTTGCCAAGTCACTGATCAAAGTCTCTATTTAGGTCAGTCTCCCAAACAACATTGCAACATGGAACAATGACCTACACCATACTACAGCTGAAAGTGGGCTTTGGGAAACCAAACTGAAGAGCTGAAAAAGCAAACACCAACCCAAGACTTGTGGCTCCAGTTTTCAGAATCTCAACCCTGCTGCTCCCTAGCACTAACAAATATGGAAGCTGCCACTGCCCTGAAACACTTGAACATCACTTAAGGGTGTGTTTCAGAAAGGCCTGCAGCCAGCTACAAAGCACTCGTGTTTTTCCACCCAAATGTTTGGCTGCAGAGGTGCTCATTCAAGAGGTCTGCCGAGAAAAGCCTCTACACTGTAGTATTTACACATAGCTTTGCTTTGCACGAGTTCAAACCACCTCAGATAAGAATTTATTTAATAAGAATGTTTGGGTGGGGGCAGGAGAATCCACTCTTCCCCAGGAATACCTAGACACTCTATAAATACTTTTTTTTTCCTTTCCTTGAGGCAGTCTTGCTCTGTCACCCATGCTGGAGTGCAGTGGTGTGATCATGGCTCACTGCAGTCCAGAACTCACCAGGCTCAGGTAATCCTCCCACCTCGGCCTCCTGAATAGCCAGGACCACAGGCAAGCACCACGATGCCAGGATAATTTTTTGTTTTTTTGAAGAGATGGCAGTCTCACTATGTTGCCCGGGCTGGTCTCGAACTCCTGAGTTCATGCAATCCTCCCACCTTAGCCACAAAGTGCTGGGATTATGGGTGTGAGCCACCCACCATGCCTTCCCTTTAAATGCTTATTAACTACAATTTAGCCTCAAATCCCAAACTTACTCCCAAATGTTTTCCTTCAGAGAACCCATGAGGCATTAACCAAAAAGTAATTATGATTAGAAAATTAAATGCAATAGAAGGCAGCTAATATATGCAAGATTGTGACATAACATCTGACACACAGAGAATCAGACTGCCAGATGAGACCATCTTTACTTTTACTGGTGAGGTGACCCTGGACAAGTAACTAAACTGCTGAGCCTTGGTTTCCCATCTGTAACACAGGGGTACTAACAGTATCTACCCCCAAGGTAGTTATGAGGATTCAATTAGATAAGCCAGCAAAGCACTTAGCACAGTGCCCGGCACTCATTACCTATTAGCTCTCATCATTGTCATCTTCATCATCATGATGTCATGCATCATTTTAAAGATTAGAAAAATGATACACAGGCAGATTGACTTGTGTAGAATCCCACAATTAGTCAAGAGCAGAACCAGACTGGATCCAGGTTCAGTCCAAGGGTGTTCTGCTATACCAAAGCTCATTTCACCTGAGAGTGCTGGGTGTCAAGCAGCTTGAAGGGTCATTTGGCCTTTTTCTGTGTTTTTTCTTTTATTTTTTTACTATTATCACTACAAATTTATTCAGAAACCCATCTTTGCGAGGTTGTTTTTCTAAAAAAAATTCCCATTGTGAACTGGTTTGGTCAATAAACCACAACACTTTCTAGCAGACACAAGATAAGAATGGCATGGCTCAGAATCGCCCAGATCTCTCATGATCTCTCGACTGCCTCCTGTCACACTCCATCTGCCTCCGCCGCCACCTCCACCGCTGCCACCGCCACGACCATGGTCTCTATACCGAGAATGACGCTCACAGGATTAGGATCTTGATCTAGGCTTCTTGCAACAGCTCCCATGCAGCTCCCATTGTAGCTCTCTGGAAATGGGCTTCAAATGAATGAAGTTGCAGGAGCCACCTCGTGTGCATTCTCCCCTCATACTGAGAGGGCTTCTGTGAAGTCCGTCACAGGTGGCAGCTCGGTGTGGATTGGCTGTCCGTTAAAACAATGGTTATTCAAGTCAATCACAGCCTTTTCTGCATCTTCGTCAAGGCAAAACTTGACATACACGTTCCCCACCAGGTGGTCTCCCAGGTTATCACAGAGGTCATCTCCTCAACTTCCTCATACTTCTCCATTTCTGTAAAAACCTCAAAAAATTCATCATAGTATTCCTGCATCTCAACAGGGCTCACGGCACAGCACAAATTGTTAGCAAACTAGGAAGAGTTTTGAGTTACAGTAAATGTTCAAGAGGGCAATGGTCTGGCTAAACATTGGTTTATTGTGCAACCGAGAGCACCTGTCTCCATGACGACACGCTCCAATTTTGAAATAAAATGAACAGTTGACTTTGTCTTTCTTGGTGCTGAAGATGGAGGCCAGATACTCCGCCATTTCCCACCTGCTGGGATGCAGAAACTGCTGTGTTCTTTCTTTATGAAAGCTTATCAAATGGTTACAATGTGTCAGGCACCAGGCTAAGTGCTTTACATTACCATCTCATTTAAACCTCATAAAAACTCTACAAAGTGAGTATTATTATTATTAGTCTCATTGTCATACACAAGGAAATAAAGCCCAAAGAGATTAAATAACTTGCCCAAGGTCACATACCTTGCCCAAGACTAGGAGTGAACAGGATGAAATCTGAACCCCAGCTGTCACCTTCCTAAACCCATGCTCTTATTCAACAGAGTAAACGTGGCAACTTTAATTTAAATATTAATATTTTACAACTAATAAATCATTCTTGCTCCATCAAGAATACTGACATCAGCCAGGTACGGTGGCTCATGCCTGTAATCCCAGCACTTTGGGAGGCCAAGGCAGGTGGATTCCTCGAGGTTAGGAGTTCGAGACCAGCCTGGCCAACATGGTGAAACTCCTTCTCTACTAAAAATACAAAAATTAGCCAAGTGTGGTGGCAGGTGCCTGTAATCCCAGCTACTCAGGAGGTTGAGGCAGGAGAAACGCTTGAACCAGGAGGTGGAGGTTGCAGTGAGCCGAGATCATGCCACTGCACTGTAGCCTGGGCAATGCAGTGAGACTCCCCATCTGAAAAAAAAAAATACTGATGTCACATGCACATTTTACTCACAGCCAATTCAGGGCTTGCTGAATGAACTGAAATGTAGACACATACCAGGTGAAAAGTATTCACTTTAAGTTTCAAAGACAATGTGTAGTGTAGAAGGCAATAAGAGATCCACAGTCAGAGCAATAACTAAAAATTGGCGGAAAACAAACAACAAAACTTCTGAAAAGCAGAGTCCTTCTGGTCCAGGATACAGTTAGCTCAAATCCCTGCCAAACTGCTCCCATCTGATACTGGCACGCCCTTGGTCTCGGTTCCTGGGAGAGGAGAGTTTCCTGAACGACTCCATAGAACCCTCAAGATTAACCCAGTACCACCCACATTCCCTCTCCCGAGAATTGCAACACCCTGCCTCTCAACACCACATTGCTTCCTCCAGAGCACTCATACTCGTCCAAGAACTGCAGAAGCACTTAACAGCTTCCCAGAACTTTCCTGAGTCGGGTATCATCACAAAGCACCTCCCTAAACTCTGTAGGGCTGTCAGTGCACAAACACAAACTTAGGCCTCCTTTCTGCATCTTGCTGGCAAGCCATTTCCACAACAGGCACTTACCTCTGCCTAGACCCAGCTCCCTAAGCATCTCCTCCCACGAAGTCTTGTATCAAACTGCAACATCAATTGCTACCCCTCCTGCACATTGTTGACATCCTTGTGCCAGTGTAACTCTCACTGAGCCAATATTCACTATTCAAACATGGACACTGAGATGAGGCTGATGTCCTTTAACATTCTATTTCTTCCTACTCACTATGCAAAATTCAGAAACCAGAGATCCTGATAACATGGCACCTGAACATGCTACAGGAATTCAAGAGCCACACAGATTCTGATGGTAAGGATTACCTGTACTGCCGTCAAACACAAGCGTGATATATTCATGTCTCTAGGGAGCGCTTCCATTTTCATAAGAAAAGGCCCAATTCAATGACTTTTCACTAGCTCTTCAGTGGATCTGATACTGACCTCTAGACCCAAACCCAAAGGACTGAGACATCAAATGGACAGCAGTTAGCATTCCTATGAACTTAAAAGCACAAAAGAATCAAATACATTCACTTATTATATACATGTCCCTTATTGCCCCCCACAAAAAAAAAACCTGTGGTACCCTCCTCTTCCTAGCAAAAGACCCCAGACAGTCCTGATAAACAGTAGGAATGCAGTAAATACCTGTTAAATAAAATAAATGAGGTAGCCGGGAAAAAGACAGATCCCCCACTTCCCCCATGGCACTAACAGAGAGAAATCCAGACACAGTAGAGCTCTTATCTGTATTTTAGGAATCAGGACATCTCAGGCAAACATGCTGTAAGAGAATGATGGTGCTAATCACGGAAGATTAGCCTGTGCTTTGTTTTCAGGCCCCCTGGACTCATCTCTTGGGCCTGGTGCCTACACTGCCCACTATGGAAAATGCCTCATTCCAGCAATGAAATAACTGCTTCAGATCACAGAAGAGTAATGGAGGCAGCAATTTACTTCAAAGCAACTTTGATGGACCCCGATATTGTTTCCCAGCATAAATCCACCCTGTGGACACAGACTCTGAATCACTTCAGACCTAGTCTATATACAATGCTTTGTTTCACATGCAATGTCATTCTGAGTCTTGTGCAAGGACACTGGCATCAATGACGGTTCCTTCTCTACAACACTCTCACTTGGAGGCGGCCAAATATTTGGAAAACTTTGGTGCCAGGGATGGTTTTTCACGCCACTTCCTGGTCAGCACTAAGTATTACCCTCCAGTTTCAGAGTATGAATTACTGAATCATAACCTTTCCTTACAAGAGCCTGGGGTCATAGGGGGGAAGCAGGCAGGAAGAGAAGATGGGTGGAAGGGAAAGGAAAAAGAAATTAATACAATCTAAGCCATGCTCATTTTCCATCTTGCTTTAAGATCTCCCTTCAGTTGCAGAGGCAAGGGAAGACTGTGGATTTCAGAGGAATACCGGGGAGCTGGCATTGCCCTACAGATCCCATTGGAATGTATGCTCTGTGAGAGCAGGGACCCACCCTTGCTCTGCTCAGTGCTAGATACTCAGTGCCCAGAACTGTGACTAGCACAACTACAGCTAAGTGACTCTCAGTTAAGTGGACAGAACTGATTTATGGCCAGGCACAGCTGCTCACGCCTGTACCAGCACTTTGGGAGGCCAAGGTGGGCGGATCACCCGAAGTCAGGAGTTTGAGACCAGCCTGGCCAACAAAGTGAAACCTTATCTCTACCAAAAATACAAAAAAATCAGTGGGGCATGGTGGCGTGCGTCTGTAGTCCCAGCTACAGCCAGTCCCCAGCTGAGACAGGAGAATCGCTTGAACCCAGGAGGCAGAGGGTGCAGTAAGCCGAGATCATGCTACTGCCCTCCAGCCGAGAGAGAGAGAGAGAGAGAGAGAGAGAGAGAGAGAGAGAGAGAGAGAGAGAGAGAGAGAGGAAAGAAAGAAAGAAAGAAAGGAGAGAGAGAGAGGAAGAAGGAAGGAGAGAGGGAGGGAGGGAGGGAGGGAGGAAGGAAGGAAGGATTTATAACTCAACCTCCAGCTCCAGAGAGGCTCTATGTCAGTGTGGTTGGTGGTTTTTCTTGTGCCCTTTACCCAGGCTCCCAGTGACTTGGGAAAGCCTCATAGCACTGAGAGCTCATTTTTAGCTACTCTGACTTGGAAGGGCGGACACAAAGAGCCTGTACCTCTGACACTTTGTGGAAAGCTAGAATGTACCATTACTTTAAGTTATGAGGATCAGCAAAATATATTTAGTATCACAGATCTATATATAATTATACATTGTTTTTACCTAAATAATTTCAATCTTTAGGTGCCTGGCAGGTTACCTTTTAAAGAACTTTCAAGGGGAATGGACTCTACAGAAAAAGGAGAAAACAAAAGCTCAATCACAAATGAGCATTTAAAGGAGGTTCTGCTAGTATGTAACAAAACGGAAGGGAAAAGAGACACAGGAAATCAAATGGAAAGACCAGACACAAAAAGGACAAATTCTGCCAGTGTGAAAGTATAAATGTCCTTCTTAATCAGTGTAGAAAAAGTAAAGGCCTGGCAGCTCTGATAAGTCAAAAACAAAAAGGAATTCTCGGGATCCCCTGTCCTGTCAGAGACAGGACACAACCCCTCCCATCTCAGGTTTTTCCCCAATTATTCTGGACCAATAAGTACTTTCATTTGCTACTTACAGACTTATTACTGTTTTTGCTACCCAACTTTCCTTTCAGGAAGTTTGGTGTGTGTGTGTGTGTGTGTGTGTGTGTGTGTGTGTGTGTGTGTGGTTTTTTTAACCTCACACAATAGCATGTTACAATTCTCAAAGTGCTTTCACACAGATCACTTTCTTTGAAGATTTCATTCCAATCTCCCAATGGAAACAAAGACAAACAGGTAAGACCAACAGTCTGCAAGGCAGCTGAATCTGCTAAGGATTTTGAACAGTTCTGCAGGCTCCACAAAGTTGGAGAAATGAAGACAGAAATGCTAAGATTTGTTGGTTGACTCATCCAAGGTTAGAAGGCAACAAGGTCCAGACCAGAGCCCAAGGTTTTTATTAAACACTGTACAATACTTGCACAGTGAAGATGCTGCTTTAGCCACTAATAAGCTTCATGGACACAAACGAACACACCACACATGCAGGGCAAGTACTCCTTCTCCTTTGGCAAGGCTGCCACATAATCTTTTAAAACTTAGGAAATAAAAAGTCATCTCTTGGCCGGGCGTGGTGGCTCAAGCCTGTAATCCCAGCACTTTGGGAGGCCGAGGCGGGTGGATCACGAGGTAAAGAGATCGAGACCATCCTGGTCAACATGGTGAAACCCCGTCTCTACTAAAAATACAAAAAATTAGCTGGGCATGGTGGCGCGTGCCTGTGATCCCAGCTACTCAGGAGGCTGAGGCAGGAGAATTGCCTGAACCCAGGAGGCAGAGGTTGTGGTGAGCCGAGATCACGCCATTGCACTCCAGCCTGGGTAACAAAGAGTGAAACTCCGTCTCAAAAAAAAAAAAAAAAAAAAGTCATCTCTTCATTAAATATCTGCACTATACTCAGGACAGCCTCAGACCAAAGCTAAAGCTGATTTTGAGTCATCTGCAAAGGTATGTGTTTCCACAGCAGCACTATCAATAAGTAGTATCCTTCAATAGCATGATGGGCTGTTTCCACCAAAGCTACCACTGAGAAAACCCCATTTCTCAAGCCCATTTCACAAAGGGAAAACATGTCTAGGATTCTTGTCCTATATTTGTTTTTTTTATCTAACTTATGCCCCACCTTGTTGCAGAAATATTTAAAGCAGGCTGGGCGTGGTGGCTCACACCTCTAATTCCAGTACTTTGGGAGGCTGAGAGGGGATCACTGGAATTCAGGGGTTGGGTGCTGCAGTGAGCATAATTTCAGCACAACACTCCAGCTTGGGTGATAGAGTGAGACTCTGTCTCAAAAAAAAAAACGGTAAGGAGTAGAAGTAGACAATCCTCAATTATTCAAGATGGTTTTTCAATGTATAGATTTGCATATTTTATCTACTCCAGTTTTATTCCCCCTCCCATCCCTACCTCACAAGTGTACAAACATCTATAATCCAGATATAAATTTGTAATATTCTTCATATGGTCAAACTCAGGAAAAATGGCACAAGGCAAAGTAAAATTCTACTTAATCGCATATGTAATTCCTCTCCTATTAGCACCTACACTGGGCCAGGTTTAGGTGGGCTCCAGGTTTATGGAGATGTCAAACAGGCAGGAAAGCAGTGTGGAAAAGTTAAAGACTGGGGATGGGAGGGTCCTGCTGATGGAAAGCATGTATCTCACTCTATCCTCCCCACATCTCAAACTAAGTCTGTGACCCTGGAATCACTTGTCGAGGTCTCAACAACTCCGTCAATAAAAGATCATATTGGGAAAAGCAAAGAGGTCTGGAAATGGTGCTTTAGCTTCACTCATGTAAGAGATCATTTTAATGTGGACAATCCTTCTCCGAATTATCCAGTAGGGACTAGTTCTGCTGGATGAATAGTTTGTTTACCAGATCCTGGCCAGGAAGAACAAGCTCACTCCGATTCTCCAGGCAGCACCATGGGTGCCTCTTTAAGATAACAGCCCTGAAAGTGTTTTCAGTTTAGAGTAAACATGGCAAAGTGCTTCCTCTCTTTTCTAAAGACATAAACAATTTTTAAATTTTTTTAATTTTTATTTTTGAGATGAGTCTCGTTCTGTAGCCCAGGCTGGATTGCAGTGGTACAATCTCGGCTCACTGCAACCTCCACCTCCTGGTCCCAGTTCAAGAAATTCTCCTGCCTCAGCCTCCTGAGTAGCTGGGATTACAGGTATGCACCACCACGTCCAGCTAATATTTTCAGTAGAGTTGGGGCTTCACCTTGTTGGCCAGGCTAGTCTTGAACTCCTGACCTCATGATCTGCTCACCTCTGCCTCCCAAAGTGCTGGGATTACAGGTTTGAGCCACGGTGCCCAGTCAATGTTTTAAGGTTTTTTTTTTCGTTTTTTTTTTAAGTTGAGACAGGGTTTCACCGTTGTAGCCAGAATGGTCTCAATCTCATGACCTCGTGATCCTCCTGCCTCGTCCTACCAAAGTGCTGGGATTACAGGCATGAGCCACCTTACCCAGCCCCGATTTTTTTTTTGAGTTTTTAACAGAGGGCTTTCCTACTCTGAGCTATTTCACTAATGAATAGTAAGCTACTTTACTATTGCCTTTTAAAATACTCAGCATATTACCTGACCCAGAACATTTCTGAGATCTGAACCGCAGTCTTCTCTTGCATACTAGTTGTCACTGTCAATACACATGTGAAATCATAACAGGATAAGCTACAACCCAGACAAACCATCAGCCTATAAAATAGAAGGCTAAACCATAACCTGCTTTTCAAGCCCCCACACTGTCCCCATTCCCGCCAGCCATAAGACCTATCTAAGTAACCTGACAGTAGGAAAATCCATCTTAGGTGGGCCCAGGTATCATAATCCCAAAGATAGGAGTGGAGCAAAATAGGTTTTAAAGGATTGTCACAACACTGAAGATTCTAGGAGCTAAGGAGAGTCTAAATAACCATGTTCAGTGCCCAAACACCTGAAAAATGAACTCCAGGGAAATTCTGTTATTATTCCCCCCTACCTGCCGCCCAGGGAAACATTTTATCCTTAATATTCAGGAGCAATAACAAAATATTTTGGCCACTGTTCCCTAATGGATTCCACAAGGCACTCAACTCTCATTTCAGGCTTTCTGAAATGCTTGCCCTGGAAAGTGTCACTTGATGGTTCACACACTCCTTGAGGATTAGGTGCTAACCCTAATTAGGCACAGGCAGAAATAGCTCAAGAATCCACATGCTCAGATTCATAACTATACTATTTTGTAAAAAATAAAAACATTTAAAAAATGCCTTCTGGCTGGGCAAGGTGGCTCACGCCTGTAATCCCAGCACTTTGGGAGGTCAAGTTGGGTAGGCAGAGTGAGGCCAGGAGTTGGAGACCAGCATGGGCAACATGGTGAAACACCATCTCTACTAAAAATGCAAAAATTAGCCAGGAGTGGTGGCACTGGCCTGCAGTCCCTGCTACTTGCGAGGCTGAGGCATGAGAATTGCTAGAGCCTAGGAGAGGCTGCAGTGAGCTGAGATAGCACCACTGCACCCAGATCTCCCCAGCCTGAGCAACAGAGGCTCTGTCTCCAAAAAATAAAATAAAATGCCTTCTAGTGATGCTTAGAAGTCCAAAAACCAGGTAACTATGGCTTCTACTTCCATTTTTCAGATATCCATTATAGTGCTATTCAACCTCAAAGTCAATTTTATTGTCCACACAAGCAATTTCACAACTCCCAGAGTCCAAGCCTACAAGACCCTTCCCACCAGGTACTTCACTAAAAACGGGCTTTATCTCCATCTTCTTTTCTGTCACAGGTAAAAAACTGCCCTTCCTAATTAAGCCAACCTACTTCTTTTTTTTTTTTTTTTTTTGGATGGAGTCTTGCTCTGTTGCCCAGACTAGAGTGCAGTGGCGCAATCCTGGCACATTGCAATCTCCGCCTCCCAGGTTCAAGTATTCTCCTGCCTCAGCCTCCCAAGCAGCTGGGACTAAAGGTGCATGCCACCATTACTGGCTAATTTTTAAAATATTTTTAGTAGAAAAGGGATTTCACCATGTTAGCCAGGATGGTCTCCATTTCCTGACCTCGTCATCCAACCGCCTTGGCCTCCCAAAGTGCTGGGATTACAGGCGTGAGCCACCGTGCCCAGCCAAGCCAGCCTACTTCTTACCTCAATAAAATCCTTGTTTTTCAATAGCACGTACAGTATTTCCAGTGATGAACAGTGAACTTTCGTCTCACACAGTAAACTCCATCAAGAACATCCACTTTGTTCTTTACTGTATATTCCTAGTGTGCTAACTGCATAATCGCAGACAATTCTAAGTGACTGAAAACTCGGGCAAAGAAAGGCAAGAGGGCAAATAGCAGGATACAGGAGACCAATGCTTTTCAAGCTTTTCTCACTGCTACTTACAGAAACACACTGTAGAACACCTACTGATACACTCACACGCGTGTACACCTGAAACAAATGTCAGGAAACAACACCCTTACTAAGTGCAATACCCTCTGATATTTTCTATTTCATTTTTTTAAAGGCCGTGATGTTATTTCCAACTCACCAATTGGATTCATTTTGAAAAACACTGCAAATAAATCAAACCTTACAGTTGCACTCCGCAAGCTACTAACGATCCCTTGAAAAGCCAGCATACAGCAGAGAAGCTGACCGACTATAAGATCCAAACTCCCCAGGCAGGCAATGTCCTTCTGTCCAGCAGTGGCAGCTCCCACCACCACCCGCCCTGGGAGTTAAGTATCTCCCTAACTCCCAGAGTTTTCCAAGTACCCCAAGGTGTCTGTCATATGCCCTCTTAACCTCTTTATAAATTCAGTCCCATCCATCTCTTATGGTGGCAAAGTTCATTTATCGTCCGCTGTGGAAAGCGTACTTCCTTTTTGTCCCCTCCAGGAACCAGAAATTAAATTACCAAGCTGGTGTCCGTTGCGCCTTTGTGACCTTATTTGTGTGGGTGATACATAGAAAAAGTCTCAGTCTCTCCATCTTTCCAGTCTTAATCACTGGCAGATGCAGTCTCCAGTGAAATGAGAAACCAGGGAACCCCCTGGCCTGGGGGAGGGCGCACTCATCAGCGTGACAGTGTGAAAGCAAGAACTCACTCCACACACCACAGAGGCATCTGGCTAACTCATCTCCAAATCCAAGTTGGGAAAGTGGAGGGCGGCGCGGAGAGTGGAAGAGACGCGTCGGAGTGACCCGCGGCGGCTGAACGCGGCCCGACCTCCCCAGTACGGCTCCGCAACCCCGGGAAAGCAGGTGAGCGCCCTCCGCGGACTTAGGGGTCGCAGAAGCCGCCCATGGAGAGGAGAAGGGAGGAGAGTCCAAGTCATGGGCCTCGTCTCCCCGTTGGGACTCCTCCCACTGACCCTCTGCCCCAAAGGGCCCACAAGCCTCCCACTCTTGCCTCTCCTCACTCACCCGGGGGAGTGGGCGTCCCCTACTGAAGAGAAAGGAGGAGGCGAAGGAGAGAATTAGGGGCTTGACGCCCACCCCCGCCCCCAGACAAATCGCTCTCGCCGCCCGGGAAAATCCCGCAGCGGGACCCACCGGCCAAGCGCCGCCTTCGCCCCACGCGGCCTCCCCTCAGCGCCTGCGCTACAGGCCCAAGGCGGTGGACGCGATCTGAGAGTGCGCGCGCGCCTTGCGTGCGCCGGCGTGGGGGGCGGGTCCTGCGGAGCTCCGCCCCCTCCTCCTCCCTCCTCCCGCTCCCCCTCCCCCATACACTGCCGCGGCCGCCGCAGGAGCCCGGAGCTCGAGCCGCCCAGTGACTCCCCCTCCCCCTCCCCCAGCCCCGCCCCGCCCCAACCCGGGGCTCCGAGCTGGAGCCGAGTCTGCGCCTGGGGGTGAGTACGCGACCCCTCCCCAATCCTCGCTCTTTTCTTCGAAGATCTCACCACCACCCAAAGAAAAAACCTGGACTCAGCTGCGCGTCCCCTCCCTTCAATCTCCTGCGGGACCCAGAGGTGCCCGGGCCCGCGGGACTCAGCGGTAGTGCGCGCTGCCCCCAACCCCGCACCATCCCGAGCCAAATGTGAGTCCTCCACCCGCTGCCAGAGGTCCAGATACGCGCCGCCCGCTCTCCCCAGCCCCGGGGAGATCCCAAGGGGTGGGACCCCCGCCCCCGGCCCCCAAGTGCCACTATTCTCCCACCTGCCCGGTGCAGGTGCGCGTCCCCAGAGCGCCCCTCGGGGGTGTCAGCTGCGCCCCGCCTGCCGGCCGCCGCTGTGGAGAACTAGCGGCCCCCGCCCCCGAGTTTTGGATCCTGGGGTCGCCAAGTCCGATGCCCTCGATCTCTTTTATTTTTTCTGTTGCTCCCGGGGGCGAGTACACCCAAAGCCGGCCCGGGGAAGGGGCTCGGGCTCGGGCTCGGCCCGGCCAGGGCAGGGTTCGCAGGTGCTGGCACGAGGCCGGCCGCTGCCCCCGGCCGGTCTGGGGACTGACTGACTGGTCGGCTGGCTGGGGAGGCGGCCGGACCCAGGAGCGTGTCCTCTCCTTGCGCCCCACACAGTGCAGTTCATTCATGAGCCGCCCGGGCCTGCGTTGGAGGGCGCGGTGGGGAAAAGATTCAGACAGGAACCGAGAGTGGGGCAAAGGCCCTGTTGTGGGGAGGGGGCGCCGCCTTGTCCCTCTTGGCTGTCTTGACCGTCTAGGGGGAACAGTCCCAAAGCTTGTCTTGTTCCCCAGAAAAGGAAAGGACGCTTGGGAAGTGGGGAGGAGAGGTCAGAGGGGCTGGCTGCCCTTGGGGCTCTGTGCTGCCACCTGCCTGGGTCCCCTAGGCAAAGGTCTGGCGGCTCAGGGCAAGCCTAAGCACTCCACTGCTCTGGGGGCTGGGGCTTGCCTACCCAATACTGGTGGTCTGCAGCAGCCGGGGAGCAGTGAAGCTGTGTGTGCCCAGCACCTGCTGAGGAGGGGCCCGTCCTGCCTCCCACGCCAGGGTGAGGAGGGGAGTGGGAGTGTCAACCAGGCTTCAAGTGGGGGTGTGCTGGCAGCATGGTTGTCCTCCAGGGCACCAGAGGGTCCAGGCCCTGGCATGCCCCAGGTGGCACATGCTGGAGCCTGCTGTTGGCTCACTCAGTGCAGTCTCAGCCTGTGGGTGGGTGGGGACATGGCAAGGTAGAAGGCAGGCTGTGGTTAACTAAGAACCCCCTTTGGACATCATACAAGTTCCCTTCAAGTATAGCAGAGTCTTAAAGATCTGGGTTCAAATTCTACCTCTACCATTCTTCAGCTGTGTGACCTTGACAAGTGACTTAACCTGTCTGAACCTCAGTTTCCATTAAAAAACTGTTTAAGCCTTTAATTCCGGCACTTAGGGAGACTGAGGCGGACAGATCACCTGAGGTCAGGAGTTCGACACAAGCCTGGCCAACATGGTGAAACCCCATCGCTACTAAAAATAAATAAAATTAGCCAGGCATAGTGGCACAAACCTGTAATCCCAGCTACTCAGGAGACTGAGACAGGAGAATGGCTTAAACCTGCGAGGCGGAGGTTGCAATGAGCCGAGATTTTGCCACTGTACTCCAGCCTGGGTAACACAGTGAGACTCTGTCTCAAAAAAAAAAAAAAAAAAAAAAAATGTGGTTACAGGGCCAGGCACGGTGGCTCAAGCCTGTAATCCCAGCACTTTGGGAGGCCGAGGCGGGTGGATCACGAGGTCAAGAGATCGAGACCATCCTGGTCAACATGGTGAAACCCCGTCTCTACTAAAAATACAAAAAATTAGCTGGGCATGGTGGCGCGTGCCTGTAATCCCAGCTACTCTGGAGGCTGAGGCAGGAGAATTGCCTGAACCCAGCGGGCAGAGGTTGCGGTGAGCTGAGATCACGCCATTGCACTCCAGCCTGGGTAACAAGAGCGAAACTCCGTCTCAAAAAAAAAAAAAGTGTGGTTACTACTACCTCTTTACAAGGTTTATCATGGAGATCAAACAAACAAGGTAGCAGAAGTAAAGAGCTTGGCATCCTGCCTGGTAGTTGATCAATAATGGGTGATCATCTCTGAACTTCTGACCCATCACTCTCCCATGCCCCCCCCACCAGGCTGCCGTGGATGGATAGGGTATGTTCAAAGAGTGAGAATATTTCATGTCACTCAGTGGTCTGGTCCCTAACACAGTGTAAACTTAGGTCTAAATAAGAAGCCCAACATGACTGAGGGGCTCTGTCATATTTCTGTCATGTTAAATTCTGTGTTTTTATCTTATTTCTATTTTTACCAACTTTCTTTCTCTAAACCAATCCCTTTTATTCCACACCTTATTAATAACAATAGCTAATTTCTGGAGCCCATTATATGCCTTGAACTATGTTAAGAGTTTTACGTAAGTCATCTTGTTTAATCCCCAGAACAACGACACAACTGGATTATTGTCCTGTTTTACAAATGAAGAAACTGAGGCCCAGGGTGACTAAGTAATTTGCCCAGGTTAGAAGCCTGGTCTGTCACATCCTAGAGTCTGTGCTCTTAACCATCAGACTGTGGTGCCTGTCCCCTACACCTGCCTCAGAACCTGAAATCACAAACCCAAGGCCTGAGTGGAGGGAAGCTACAAGCAGGAGGAAAGGCATGCGGGTAGAAATAGGGTAAGGCATTTCTCCAGAGCAGTAACTGGCTGCCTCCGGCTGCCTGGTGGAAGTGACTCTTCTGTTTGCAGATACCTCTGCAAAGTGTAGTGGTTAAGAGCGTACACTCAAGCCAGGCAGCCTGGGTCCATATCTGGGTCTACCACAGACTGGCTGTGTGACCTTGAGCAGTTCATATAACCCCTCTGTACCTCAGTGTCCTCCTGGGGTTGTGATTGGTAGCAAATGAGTTATATTTGCAAAGTGCTTAGAACAGTGCTTGACACAAAAGAAAGGTTAAAAAAAAAATTTAATACATGTGTTATTTTACTACTACTTTTTTTTTTCTGTTTTTCTTTTTTCTTTCTTTTTTCTTTTTAGACAGGATCTCTTACCTGTTGCCCAGGATGGAGTGCGATCTCAGTGAGCACAATCTCAGCTCACTGCAGCCTGGAACTCCCGGGGCTCAGGTGATATCCAATCTCAGCTCCCAGAGTAGCTGGGACTACAGACGTGCACCACCACACCCAGCTAAATTTTAGGGGGGTATCTTTTGTAGAGACGGGATTTTGCTATGTTACCCAAGCTGGTCTTGAACTCCTGAGCTCAAGTGATCCTCCCACCACTGCCTCCCAAAGTGCTGGGATTACAGGTATGAGCTGCTACCATGCCCAGCTTTTTTTTCCCCCCCCTCAAGGCAAGGTCTTGCTCTGTTGCCCAGGCTAGAGTGCAGTGGCATGATCATAGCTCACTGCAGCGTCCAACTCCTGGGCTCAAGGGATCTTCCCCACTTGGCCTCCAAAACTGCTGGGATTATAGGGGTGAATCACCCCACCCTGCCTACTACTGCTTTTATGCTCACTTGTAGACACATTCTTACCTATCCCTCTGAAGTGGGTAGGGGGTAGAGTAAGGATATTTGTATCTCTTTATTACAGATTGGAAGACTAAGACTCAGGTTACATTTAAGTAACAGCTACTTTCCGTCTTCACCTCCTCCCCTCACACCACACAGCCCCGCTTTGATCCCAAGCCGTAACTTAAATCTTGTCCAGTAACTAAAAAGCGTATAATTTGGCTGGATGCAGTGGCTCACACCTGTAATCCCAGCACTGTGGGAGGCTGAGGCAGGCAGATCATGAGGTCAGGAGATCAAGACCATCCTGGCCAACATGGTAAAACCCTGTCTCTACTAAAAATACAAAAATTAGCTGGGTGTGGTGGCAGGTGCCTGTAGTCCCAGCTACTTGGGAGGCTGGGGCAGAAGAATCACTTGAACCCAGGAGATGGAGGTTGCAGTAAGTGGAGATCGTGCCATTGCACTCCAGCCTGATCACAGAGCAAGACTCCCTCTCAAAAAAAAAAGCTTATAATTTATAGCTCTCCAATCCCTACCATGCACACACTCTTTAATGGTAAAATAACCTTAAGTTAGCTAAAAATAAAATCCTCCATCACTCTTCACTCTCTCTACAGACTTCTAGCTAAAGCCTCAATATCAGACTAGAGAAACTCTGGGTTATCGCTGGTGCAGGCACCTTCTAGAGTGGAATAACTGCCACCTTCCCTCCCCAAGGTATTCTGCCTCAGTGTCTTCCCTCTTCTCAGCTGCTCAGGCCAGTGCTGACTTTGAGAGCAGCTGCCCTTGATGACAGTCAGCCCAGCAACCCCGCCCCCACAATTAAAGGCTTGGAGTAGCCCTGTCTACTGTTGGAGCTGCCAGCCCAGGCTTCACCCCTTACCTGTTCTGTCACTGTGCAAGTTGCTTCCCCTGCTGGGTTCCTGCTTTCTCCCTGGAAAATGGGGATTGCGATCTGAGTGCGCCCTGCCTTCCTCCCGTGCAGGTTGGGACATTAATGCAGTTGTGGAGGGGAGAATGCTTTGTGACCCAGAGGAGTCGGGCAGCAGAGGAACATGGTGATTTCAGTCACCAAGCATCTAGCTAGACCCACATCCACCCTGCTGGATGGATGCGGAAGCTTCCAAAATTTTCTACCTTTCTTTGCTGTGGAGAAGACAGGAGGTGATGG